CTCGAAAATATTTAGATTTTTCGATCAGGAGCCTTGACAATTTTCACACAAACTACAAGTTTGAAGATAAAATAAAGAATAAAGGACATTGAGTTGATGTGTAAGTTTTGACGAGTTAAAACTAGGTATATTCAAGATTATTTTGATCAATAAGTTTTTACCATGACAGTGGTATTTTAGTGAGTCACAGTGAGGTTTGTCTCATCCGTAGTTTTACTGAATTTTCACGGTCACGTGACTCTATTGTTGCTGATAGACTTGGGGTCAAACCGTGACCTGCTTTCCAACTGATGGGTTTCCTGTAACTTGAACGTTGCCATTTTGTCTATTTACGTCTGTGACGTCATTTTCATGACTACAAATTAACAAACTAAAAAGGTTATTCGCCGGTGAATAATAGGGTTATTCAACGCTGGTGTTAATTTTTAGGGTTATTCGTTCTTCCTTGCAATTGAATGAAAATTAACTGAATTATTCCATGTCACGTGATAACGTTTTACCCAATAGAATTGTTTGAAATATATGTAAGGTATAATAATAGGATTTCAAAAATGGGACAAAATGCTTAATTTAGAAAACAACACAAGCAAAAGAGAACAAATGCTGTACTTTAATCTTTAACTATATACAAGACAATAGATTAAAAATGTTAAGATGGAAATTTCTACATTACATTTTACCAACCAAACAATTACTTTTCTCTTGGAAAATAACCAAAACTCCTTTATGTAATATATGTCATGTCATTGAAAATTATGAACATTATTTTTTAACATGCAAATTTCTGAAATCATTTTGGGATCAAATAAAACTACTACTCGATAAACTTAAAATAGGACATCATATAATATCACTTGGATCACTTTTGTATGGATACATGATAAACGATACAAATTATTACAGTGTTAATGATATATTAACTATTATACTTTTTACTGTATATACAAAGGATATTATAAACAAGTCTAAATTTAAATCAACGTTCAAACCTATGATTGCGTTCGATAAAGACCGCAATTTTTATACTTGTGTATGCAAAACAAATTTCTTGGTAGAGGGGTCTAAATACAGCACAAACAACATTTTCCAAAAGACCAAAAAAGTGAAAAAGTACATTTTAACAAAACGCATTTGACTAGCAGGTCGAACGACGGATGTTCTTAAACCCTGCTGACTGCCATTGGCGATTGCCAAATAAACGTATCACCAGATGTAACAAAATGAATCTTAACTATTAATTTAATACCAAACAAAAAACAATAGATCAATATGAAAAAGTACTAATATCCCGAATCCAACATTATTTATTATGCGTTGTCTTAGCTATATATTTGAAGTGTAATCAAACTTTAGTTTTTTCGTATAAAAACACATGCACACTTCAGAGTACCATATCATTTCAAAATAGGCATGCGTTCTTCTTTAATTCTTAATTGTAAAATGGCTTAGCTACAAATTTACTATGAACAGTTCCATGTGCTGATGAAAGAACTCTAAATTTGAAAAGACCTCGCATTTATTGTTAAGACAAAACACAATGATATCTCCTTTGTGTATCAAATTTACTGAAATGAATATCTGTCTATCAAAATGTTGTTTGACGAGATAAAGTATGATGGACTGACTGTTGTTGACTTACGTCCAATGGCAAAAAGTACATTTATGTTTTGGATGATCGAGATCAGTTAAAAAAATATCTAACTTATTGTTTGAAATATCTACCATTCTTTTTTCTTCATACAAAAAAAACATGATATTTAGAAATTAAGAAAACACGCAAATTGTCAAATTGATAGAAATGTACATCAATTAGATATTCTAATATCAACAAAACTAAGATAACAGAAATACCGAACTACAAGGAAAATTCATAACGGAAAGTCCCTTATCAAATGGCAAAATAAAATGCTCAAACACATCAAACGAATAGTAAACAACTTTCATATTCATAACTTGGTACAGACATTTCCTAATGTAAAAAAATTATGGATTCAATCTGGTCTTATAGTTAGCTAAACTTCTCACTTATATGACCGTTGCAGCATAGAATTCCATTATATTGGCAACAATGTGTGAGCAAAACAAACAAACATAATCGGTAAAAATGTTGAAAATAAGGGTACAGCAGTCAAATTGTATTTCAATCTTAATCACCATAAAAACACACAGCTTTGTCAACAAAGAAAAACAAAATGGCCTATAGACACTCTATAGACAAAGCACATAAGCAAAAATGAAAGACAAGGATACAAAAAATGACCATAGTACAAAACACAATGGCGTGGTGTATAAATACCGAGCCACGCCGAAAGGATATTACCTAAAATGGACTAAACAGTAAAGGTTGACAATATACAAAGACAAATACAAAGAACCATGTAACACGTTATTAAGATGATAAACAACGTCAGTACCTATTTGGCTTGAGTACATTTCTAGAAATGTTTAGAACTTTTAGATCTAAACGATTACATATTCTACATGTACATTAGAATTAGATAATTCAGACATTTTATAGGGAAATTATTTTTAATAATAACCATATAAGTCAGGATAAGGTATGATTTTGACATATAATGACTGTTACTTTATTTGAACTTAATTTGCGGGATTTAATATAGAAAACAAAATATTGGTTCTGTTCCTATTAACTATAGGTTTTTTTCTCCTCGTTGTTGAAGGTCGCACAATTATATATGATTGATTACATCTATGACAATATGACTCTGGTGGATACCATATCTCCCTATTTTTATATTCAACTACTTTTTTAGGTTTATAATTGTATACTTGGGGGTAGTTTTTTATACTATTTGCACCATGGAGAGTATCTCAGATAATATGTAGTTTTAAATGAATTTGTAAATTGTTTCTATTATCCCTCAAAGTTTCTAAAATCTGTAATTAATTAAGGGTACAGTAGTTAACCGATGGTCAAATTGTAAATTGATTAGGATGAGACAAATCAAGTTAACAAACAGAAACTAAGAGAATCACGGGAACTCAAAAACGAACGAGATCGGATAGATCGTCAGGGTAAGCATCTCTTGCTATGCTGCATCGTACGTAATTCGAATTCACACTTAGGTAAAATGTCAAAAATGGTAAAATCACAAATCAGACGACTATACTGGCTCCAAACGATAAACACAAAAGTTTACGACAAAAGGGGTGATTTTTCACTCCCTATTGTTAATGTTCCTTTCCGGTGATGTTCCTTTGTATATCCGAACTCGTTCGCTATGCCCGTGTCTGCAGTGACCTTTTATATTTCAATGAGCGTCATATATGTATAACTAGTTAATTATAAAGTCAGGGATTTCGTTACCACAAATAGCTTAAAACCATTACTAAATTCTTCCATAGAAACAAAGATTTGGTTTGATAGTTTGGCTTTACCTGTAGAAAACTTATTTCAAACGGAATAGCACACCCTAAATTTTACGGTGATGCTGTTAACCGAGCCCGGCAGTTTAGATACGATCCAGGTAAACTTATCAATTCTTAAAATAAACGATTTCTAAAAAAGTTAAACATTCATCACTGAATCTTTGAATATTTTTTTTATTGGTATAGATATTGAAATTGTTATCAATACATTAATACCATACTAAATACTATTGTTATAGACTAATGTTTTTTCCTGGCATTACAATCTGGCGATACCTATATTTTTGCATTGCCCAAGGTCATGTTTTTCTCTGATTGTAATTGACATTTTTACACTTAATCCATTGGATGTTGGGTGTGTACTGATTGACATTTTAGTTTTAGATACATGATTTATTTTAACATGTTTTAGTTGTTATTGGCTTTGTACTAGCTCTCTGTAACTGCGAATACTATCAGATCTGTTCTTAGTGTCTTTTTGTTGTTAGGGATGAGGGTTGGATAAATACCCTGCCACGTCCAGTCTTTGATGAATTAAGCCTTTTTCATTTTTGGATTTATATAGTGTGTGCCTATTTTATTCTGTTACACCACTGTCCCAGGATAGGGGAGGGTTGATCGCTCACAAACATGTGTAACCCCGCCACCCTCTTTATGTGCCTGTCCCAAGTCATGAGCCTGTTGTTCAGTGGTTGATGTTGGTTCATGTCTGTTATAATTGTTTTCGTAAATTGTTTTGTTATAAATTAGGCCGTAAGTTTTCTCAATTGAATTGTTTCATATGTTTAAAATCGGGGCCATTTATAGCCGACTATACGGTATTGGTTCATCTCATTGTTGAAGGCCGTACAGTTGCCTATAATTGCTTACATCGACTTTATTTGACTTGGGTTAACGGTATTTTAGTCCACCGACTGACACATTTCTTAAATTTATCATGAATTTTTACAGTCTTCGGGTGGTTGAAACTACTATTTTACATTTCGTTTCTTAGAATTTTGCCTAAACCAGTAGTTACCGCTTCTGTACTGGCATGAAATACCAATGATACCGTCATTTTTCTATAAATAAACTGTTCATAATTTAAATATGTTGTAAAAGTGATATATTCATAACATGAAGATATAATCCGATGATCTGTTCTTTTGCGACACATTTTGACGTTGTAGGTTAGCCTTTCAACTTTCAATTATGTCTACTTAACGAATCATAGCGATATAATAAAAAAAAAATTGAAGCTAACTAGTAACAAAATACAGTTTACTTATTTTTTTAAAAATCCTCAAATAAAAACGTATAACGGTATAAAGAGTTAAAGGTACTATTCAACACAATCAAAGGGGTGTTTAAATATTTTACAATTCAAAGAAAGTCATAATTGAATTTCATATCTTTCTAACGATTATTCTTAAAAAAATAACTTTTATGCAAAAAGCTTAATATGGGAGTATATACAAAGTTGAAGATCATCGTTTGTCCTATTTCAACACGACTTGACTCATGCAATGGAAACATCTAAATAACAACAGTCAATTAAAAAAAAAACGAGTACAATGATGTACACGGAAACAAATTTCATAAAATGGTCTTTTCTCTAACAAATACTACACTAAAGTAGAAAATATTTTATTTAAGCAATTATACTTCAAGCAAAACAATACTATTTAAATTCAGTTTTTTGGACACTGAAAAAAGAAAATTATAAAAGCTATTGAATAAAGAAATAATATCGCAGTCCATGGTCAAAATGGGGAAAGGTAAATCCTCAGTAAGATTACTAGTTACGGACTTTCACCTTGCATAAGCAATACAAAAATGGGAAAATAATATGTAAAATTTTTGTTTTTGTTAATAAGGGTCATATCTTGTCTACTAATTTAAAGTTTGGATTTAAAGCTATATAGTGTATTAAACGCAAAGCAACATCAAATCATAATTCATTTGTTCTGTAGTAGTAGTCATCACCAGGCGCTTCTGTAAATAGGTTATTCAATTCCTCCTTGATCTGAGAAAATCCAGCTCGCTTACGAGGATCATAGTGCCAACACTTCAGCATGATTTTGTAGAACCTATTTATAAATAAATAAATTATATATTTTATTATTAAAGACTACTTGGTTTTACAGCAACTGCAACACTTATTATAAACGATAGAAGCCTGATAAGTTATTTCTGGATCACAGGTGTATCAATTCGAAACAACCATATCATTGCATCAACTGGATGGTAAATATTGAGTATACTCAAAAAGACGTAAATTATTGATCCTACTTTTAAAACATAGGTGCTACCAAATGTGTTCAAAGAATGTTTTAGTTGTAGTTTTGGATCCTGCGTTACCATTCGAATACATAGTTGAATATGTTTTTGTACTTAGAAAAATGGATAATAATTTGATTTCAAAATAACATAAACAGTACCAATCTTTTGCACTATATGTGCATTTAGACAATTAATGTCTCTTCAGTGTTGTTTAAAAGCCAAATTTTAAGTACTTCATAAATGATAATATAGTTTACATATAGTGGTATAAACCTAACCTCAGACCACTAGTGAATAAAGGATTTTCGAGCTAATTTTTTATCAACATTTATATGGAAAATGGTATGTAATAGTATGTTCATATTCTATATTAAGTGGTAATAGTACGCTCTGTAAGAAAACTTACGTGTTAAAAGAATTATCAATTTCACGTCGTGATACATAGTGATTACCGAGCTTTATAATACGTAGAAATAATTTAATTTTGGATGTAACGCGTATTCTGATTGGCTGACGTTGTTTTGTTTATCAGCTAATAGACCTAATTTTGTCACGTAACCGTGACGTCATCAACGTTTTTTCATGGTTTACAACGGTTTGAAATGGAGTTTAGAATTAAATTAAAAGAAATGACTGTAATATTTTTTTCTGTCTATTCGAAATAACATAAAAAATGTGGTGCACACTTTAAAATAACCCGCTACGCTGTTTATTCAGTGTGCACCACTTTTTTGATGTTATTTATTCATAGACAGAAAAATTATTACAGTCATTCCTTAAATAATTAAAATATGAAAAGTTAAAACAAAATGTAGATTCGAAGTACAGACACCACCTTCGGCAGTATATAAGTACGACTAAATGAGAACCAATAGCAAACGAATCACTATATTTCGCTCCTGTACGGTACAATTAAGTATACTAACAGTCGGTTTTAAGTTTCTGTTCTAATTTCAATTGATGTTGTTTACAGTGAGTACAAATTCGACAATACGTCTCATTTGGTGTCGTCACATTCGAGAAAAAGAGGACGGATTTGTGGTTGTGACAATTGTAAATATGAGTTGTCATTTAAGACTAAGATATTCGATAATAGTCAAACAAATCGTGTTTGCGAGGGCGTTCGTAGCGTCTTTGATAGGAAAACTTCAAAATTACCAATTGGAATAATGGATCAATAGCTTCCTTGAAAGCAGAACCATCATGCAAGGAAATTCAAGATAGAAACATCAAGCGTTTGAATACCGTATCATATTGGATATATAAACTCAATATGCAGGCGGTGTTGTAATAAGTTTTACAGTTGATATTTTCTTCATTAGAATTATTTATTTAACGATTGTTGATTGCTTACCGTTCAGTGACAATCGTTTCATGCAAGTTTAGAACAAGAACAAATAAACAATTAAGACCAATAGCTAGCTCCTGTAAGAGAGGCAGTTCTGGAATGGGTTAAGGTAATTTGGACTGCCACTTAAAAATGAGGATGTATTTGAGAGGTTCCGCAATTTTACTTTGCAACAGGCAATCTACGAACAACTCAAAGATGCAAAGGTTCATTATCTGCAGAGACCGTGACACTCTCCCTACAGAAGGCATCGGATTTAACCTCCCCATTTTGACCGAAAGTGGCTACGTACTTGTACATACCTCACAGCTAAAGTAAAATATCAAAAATACCAAACTCCAAGGAAAATTCAAAAGGGAAAGACTCTTATCAAATGGCAAAATTAAAAGCTCAAACACATCAAAGGAATGGAAAACAGCTGTCATATTCCTGACTTGGTACAGGCATGTCCTTATGTCGAAAACAGACGCCCACTTTGGCAAAGGTTTTACTGCCTGTCGGAAGAAAACAAAAGTGAACATATTTCTATTCTCAAGTCATCCATGGGGTGTCATGAAAATTAACAATTGGTTGAAAGGTCACTGATAAAATGTTATATCTAAAAAAAACAATAATTTATATCTCCTAAAATTCGATATTTTTTTATCTGTGTATATAATTATATTAAAGGACAATAAAAATCATTGTAAAACAAACAACACCACACCAGACCGAAAGAAGATAGACACTGAAAGAGGGACGAAAGATACCAGAGGGACAGTCAAACTCATAGATCGGAAACAAACTGACAACGCCATGGCCAAAAATAAAAAGACAAACAGACAAATAATAGTACAGATGACACAACATAGAAAACTAAAGACTAATCAAAAACTGGGGGTGATCTCAGGTGCTCCGGAAGGGTAAGCAGATCCTGCACCACATGTGACACCCTTCGTGTTGCTGTGTTATTACAAAGCCGGTAAATAGTCTAATTCGCTAGGTCACATTGGTGAAAAGGGAACGGGATTGTAGTTACGACATAAGGAACATATCCGATATCATCTGTGAAACGGATATTCCATAACGGTCAACCAACTCGTGATGGCGTCCGTAAAATTTACAAAGTGATGATTTCAACTGCACCATTTGGAAATCTTGGTTAAAAAAATGAAAAGGTCACAATTGGGAAGCTGAAATCATCTTTTGTCGTAAAGTTTTGTTTTCATCCGATCCTCATAGTCAATTTCTAGATATAAATCCTAATCAAATGGCAAACTCAAAAGCTCAAACACATCAAACGAATGGATAACAACTGTCATATTCCTGACTTGGTACAGGCATTTTCTTATGTAGAAAATGGTGGATCAAACCTGATTTTAAAGCTAGCTAAACCTCTCACTTTGTATGATAGTCGCATCAAATTCCATTATATCGACAACGATGTGTGAACAAAACAGACACAGTAGATAAAAATTTCACAAATAGGGGTACAACAGCAACATGAACCCCACCAAAAACTGGGAGTGATCTCAGGTGCTCCAGAAGGGTAAGCAGATCCTGCTCCTCATGTGGCACCCGTCGTGTTGCTCATGTTATTATAAAGCCGGTAAATAGTGTAATTCGGTAGGTCACATTCGTGAACAGGGAACGGGATTGTAGTTACGACATAAGGAACATACCCGATATCATCTGTGAAACGGATATTCCATAACGGTCAACCAACTCATGATGGCGTCCGTAAAATTTACGAAGTGATGACTTCAACTGCACCATTTGGAACTTTTGGTTTAAAAATGAAAAGGTCACATTTGGGAAGCTGAAATAATTCCTTTTGTCGTAAAGTAATGAGCTGCAAGCTCAGCCTGTTGTAGCAAACGGTTTCACTCCGTTTGATTTGTATACACTTTCAGTTCTAAATCCTTTATTCGCCAAATTTGGAAATATTACAAGCGTTCCATTCTGACTTATTGTGAAAGCTACAGTCATATTTAACTTAATACTATTTATGATGCAAAACAATCGTCATTTTAGAAATGCGTGTAATATGTTAACGTCAATAAAGGTTCTATGTGAATGGTTACACTTTTGAAATGATGTAAAACAAAATGTCTGGAAAAAAAGTGATAAGATAACAAGATGTCAACATTTGTACCAAAGATTCCAAGAAATAAATTCAAAAGGGTAAATCCATATCTAAATGATATGATAAAATTTGTTCACGTGTACTTAGTCATTTATTTTATTAACGTAACTATGAAACATTTGTTTTACAACTTAAAGTAACTTAAGGCTGATACATACACATCATCGCAATGCTCTGGTTTCTTCATTTTATAGCCACGTTTGACCATACCCGGAACATCTCTACTTTGCACACCTGGATACGGAGTCTCACCTATAAAAATATTCTATATTGATTCTTTTTTTTTTCAAAAGAGTTGCAAGTCGGTGATAGGGCAATCTTGATTTTGCTGTAATAGTTATACACCGTAGACCAATAAAAATATATCAATACGTTTGTGAAATAGATAAACGATAAACATCACTTTTCCTCTCATTTATTTTGTAATTTGCGGGTATTTCCAGAACTTGTTGTCTTATGTCACTCAAAACGTTTGATTTTTCTTCAAAGTCAGTTAAACTACGTACTAGTATATGAATCAATATGGAGTGTTTGTAAGTTTATTGTCTACCGTAAACAGTATCAGTATCAAAACTAAGGGTGAGATTTCAAGACATCGATTACAAGACAAAAATACTTCTAAAGCAGAATACATTTAACAAATATCATCACATATTGGTATGCCAGAAATGGTAAAATAAAACATTTCGCTGAAGAATTAATGTTAGTCGTAGCAGAGGTTTAGAACCACTAATTTACAGTCTGTAAATAAATTACCAAAGACCGTTGAATACGTACCGAGAGAAAATATTTCCCACATAACGATGCCAAAGGACCAAACATCACTCAATTCATTTGCGTATGCTGTGGTTTTCATACACTCTGGGGCCATCCATTTGACCGGTACTCTTTCCTGCAAACAATTGATAATAGAAAATAACATTATATACTCAGCCAAACATAAGAAATTATTTGTGCAAGTGACAATGGAGCTTTTGATAAGACGTGGTGTCTTTTTTAAGTCCAATACGGGACTCCTTTTTCAGCGTTGTTTGTGCTGTAGTGAAAACTAACATCTCTAAATGTTTTCAAAATATATAATGGTTTTGAATAATTATTATAACAATTATGCCCTAGCAATAATTCAAATTTACACAGTCATAAATATCCAATATTTTAAAAATAAGATAAAAAAAGGATATTCCATATTTAATAAAAAATAACAAGTGAATATTCGATATAATCTGAAATGTTTTAAAAGACGTATTATTTTGAAAATTATTTTGATGATTGATAACATTACAATTTATTTTTAAACTACATCACTGAATGTAAAATACATACGTAAAACATAATTGGTCACATTTCTTTCGCATTATCAATTAAGTTCTTTATATATAAATGCAGACAAAACCTTCAAACGTTGTGGCGTTAAAAGTCTTTGCAATTCACCTTTTATGATGAATACAGTCTAATATACGACGACGATTCCACAATGTAATAATAGGAGTCATATCTCATTTTCAAGGGTTTTTTTTTAAATAGAAAGTAATTACTCACTATGCGATATAATGATTGAGACTACGTTCAAGCTTTGATATTAGGTTGCATTGTTGTTTGCTGCATAAATGAAAGGATTCACCTAAGTGAAATAAGCAATCGATGATTGACTTAAGATTTGTATTAGGTACAGCTATTAACTATTTTCGGCGAAACAGGAGAGTAACCCACGTATCTGTTCTCATTTTTCAAACCAAACTTTAAGTCGCAGTCATACATTCTATGACATAGTGTGCTGGTCGCACCTGTGTCTTTAGTTGTTATTTGTTTTTATTAATACTATTATTATGTAAGAAGGTTACTGTTGAATCCTAATTTATTTCGTGTAATCAAATAAATTATTCTTCTTTTTAGATAGAACCGTTTCGAAAATTATATAGTGAACAATATCAGGTATTTAAATGTTATATCAATTGTAAATTTACAGTGTTTTTCGCATCTTCCTCTAGATTTGCTTCTGGATCAGGACCAAATCCAGTAAGTTTCGGTTCATGCAGATCATTGAGTAACACATTACGTACAGCAAGTCGTCTGTGTACTACCTATAATAACATTCAGATTAAAATTGTAGTCACAACCCTTTTTGAAATAATGACGATTGAACAAAATATATCAAACTATATCATTAAACATTTTTAACTTCAACAATAAACAAGGAACAGACGTTTTGTAAGTATTACTAACATAACATATAAAGCTTCATTTAAATTATATTATATGAATTATGATGAAAATTTCATTAAATCTACGATATATAAATTGAATTTGAACATCCTTGAGCTCTGATGTTTATTAAGTATAAAACCTTTTGAATAACTGGATAATGTTAGGTTTTTGTAATGAGTTAACGCATTTGAAACATAGATCAAGATAACGACAAAACAGACTATCGGGTTTACATAACTGAGACAGTACCTCAAGAGAGAACCAGCAAAAGATAAAAAATAAAAATACTAATACGCCCCGACAAAGTAAATCATTTTTAAATGAGAAAAAAAATACCGAGAAGCAATCACGACCAAAACGTACAATAAGCAACAACATAAAATTATACTTTGAAAACGAAAAGCAATCTTTAGAACACAACATACTACACAGAACATAAAAATAATCAGCTGAAAATAAAACCCATTAAAACCCAGGGAGAACTAAAATGCTGCGGAGGGATCAACAGTTCATTCACTACTGACAGCCGCTTTTTACTTCTGAATACGTTGATGATCATATGGCATCGTACAAAAAAGGCTCATTAATAGTCTCCTGTCTCAACATTGGACATCATCAAATAAATGAATCATTGGTAACTTGATTTCTCAGTCCTTTCGATGGTTGATAGAGTCGAGCATTGAGTATGTCAAATTTTGCGGGTTCTTGAGTTTGAAATAAAAACATTGTCTTGTAGGACAAAAATGGAACAAGAAGACTGCTTTCGCGAAAATCGACAGACACACTGAGAAATAAAATATCAAAATACACACCGCTTAAAACTGATGTAAGGTAACAAGAGGAATCAAGATAACAGGACCTAATTGTTGCAACAAGTGTAAAACAACACGGTCAACCTAAGCATGATGGCGTCACTAAACAGTTAAATGGGATGACCTGACCTATAAGTTTTGATTGTCCCACTGATATATCATGACTCATGACTTTCACTTATTTGACAGAGACTAAAATCTTTTAATTCCCGAATGTGTTGTTTTCCTCCACTGTAGTTTAACATAATTATTTTTGTTGAAACACATATAGTTTCGTTTGTTTGTTTTTAAATATCATATTGTTAGATTTTATATTATACACTGAATTAAACACTAGCATTTCTATTTTTTTTATGATAGCCTCAATCTGATTGTACTGTCTTACAATGAAAAATTCGTAATAAATCATAAAATTTATACATACTTTGTTAGAGGCCAAATAATCCATTCCGTTACAAATACCAAACGCCATTCGGAACAATCTCTCCTCTAATTCTACCGTAACATTTAATCTAGCAGACTCAAGAAATTCTTTCAACACTCCTTTCGAACAATATTCTAGAATCATCATTGGACCACCTACAAATTATATAATACAACTTTATTGTTTGTCCTTTTAGTGATGCATTCACGAAAACTCAGTCGCTGTCAAATTGCACAGCTGATGACTTGCACAAATTAAATAAAATACCAACTGATTCATTGTTAATGTGTATTATAAATTCGGTGGTATTTTGCTTCGTTAATGGCATGTTTTACTATATATTAAGTCTTTCGGAATTATTCATTCTTGGCTTTTGAATGATTTAGTTTGAAAAGTTTCTGATGAAAGTTAACTCAAAAAAGTTTTTCGGAGGCACGAAATAATCAAGTGTTATTTTCATTTACTGCACTACTTGGTTGATACCACTCCTGGTGCTTTGGAACTGACATGATTTTTAACAAACCTTTTCGTAAATATCCGATGATGAATTAAGAAATTATTAAGAAACTTAGTTTCCAACTTCACCTTCAGTTAATTTGGTTATTTGTTTGTTTGTTTGTTGTTGTTGTTAGAATTCGTCTGGTCATATAGATCTTCTGATGTTTTTTGTGTAATATATAATTCACTTTCAATGTTTGGATTTGAGAGTAAGGAAGCCTGATGAATAAATCAAGAAAAGCGCTTCAAGTGTTCCATATTGTTTTGTGTAGTGTTTTTCGTCGTTTTGTGGTAATTTTGTTTTACAATGGCGTTGTCTGTTCATTTTCATCGTATTAGTTTGAATGTCTATCTAGCATATTTTGCCTCACTTTTACAGAATATTGTCAGTCTTTGATTGACAGATTACAATTCAATGCCCTTTATCACTTATAAATCTTATGATTGCTATACCAGTTATTTGTATAAAATAATTTAATTATATTTACTCACGGACATCATCTTCAACTGATCCGATGAAATCCAAGATATTTTTGTGATGTCCCACTTTTGTCGCATAAAAATTTATCTTCGCTCTCATTTTTACCACATTTTCCTCATTCTGGTCATCTTGAATTATAATATATGATTGCATTTAGTAACAAATTTAAAATAACTTTACTCAATGCAAACCACAGGTAAGTACTGACTTTCTAGTTCTGATATTTCAAGCAATTAGTAATAAACAATGCTTACAATAATTTCATTCTAGACACACTGCTTTGTTTTATTTGAATGGAAGATGATATATGATTTAGGCCTTGTAATCGCCTTGATACATGTAATAAGATGCACTATTCGGATTATTGGTCATTCATTAAAATTCGATGTAACTATGGCGTATCATATTTTAATGATTATAACCACGTGAAGTCAGAACACTTCCCTGCCCCCTGACTGTCCCTCTGGTATCTTTCGTCCCTCTTTTCTGAATAATTTTTTGAATTTTCTAATATTTCTAACAGATAGCCAAACCTTATACATGTTTACTGAAGTAGTTAACAAAGAGACAAAAGGAGCATATCAATACTTTTTCTATGCCAATATTAGAAATTAAGTTCACACTACAGAACTATTAGTTATTATGTTTTGATCTAAATGAGAGCCGTTTGTTAGTTTATATAACATACATTATGACATGAAATGACAGCGGAATCTAGTATTGATTTCAAAGTTTCTAGTGTAATTGTTTCACATTTTTCATGTCGGGGCATTGAAAAGCCGACTTTACGGTATGGGATTTTCTCATTGTCGAAGGCCGTTGGTTGTCTGTAATTGCTTACCTCCACTTTGTTTGAACTTTGTTGGAGTGCTGTCTCATTGTCAATCATACCACATCTACCTGTTATTAAATCATGTCTTTATTTCAAATAACATTGAAACGATATCATTTTGTCTAAATATGCAATAATGCTGATTTGCTTTTACAGTCTATGACCATGAATATAATTTATGTTTAGGCACAGATGAATTGCGATTATCATCGCCAATGTATATATGTATTAGGTCAAATTAATACAGATAGATACCAGAAAACAAGTTGAACGTATATGTTGATACAAAGTTTCAGGAAGCCCATATCATTAGTTTGCTAAAACAATGCGGCGAAATTTCCATTCATGGCCATAATGTAAGAATATATAGGTATTTGGTAAACAGAATGTTGTTGAGTGATGCATCTGGAAACGTATCACAAGTATAGGATAAAGGCTAACACATCAATTCATGTATTCATTTGCAACATTAAAGCATTTGTAATGATCAAAAATTATTTGCAGAGAAATAATAATAATTTAACCTTTAGCATTTAGTTTTAATTCTGGAGTATGCGATAAGTTGATTCTACAATACCTTTCAGGGTTTTAGCAACAACTGTTTTAGCTTCTTGATGTGTATAGTATTGTGCTAAATATATGATTGCAAATCGTCCCTGTGTAAGCTCTGATTCTAAAGAAACATCCTTTCTAGACAAAACCCAAGATTTCTCTCCTTTGGTATCCATACCACCGTAGAAATATATGTCATCATCTTCTTTTGAAATAAAAGCACGGTTCTACATAATAAAATGATTTATACTTTTAAAGCTGAAATGCTATAAAAATATGAAATGACATATTAAATAACAAAATCGACGATTAAGTTCTTCATTTAATATGGATGCAATTTACGATTAACTTATAACTCGTTTTGCTTCAGTTCACAGTAGGTTTATATCTATCAAATGGAATTATAATTTAGTATGTATATACTTCAATTGAAGTAATAAGAATACTTACATTCAGCCCACTACTTGTACCACGTACTCTTATGGTATTTCGAATTGTGCGTATACCTGCAGTAACTTGTTGTTTAGCAGGCTGTAATCTACCTGTTCTTCCAAGAAAGACTAGCACGGCAATAACAGCAATCAGGATTATAAGAAAGCCTAACAAAAGACAATAGTGTTATAGAAAATCTAGCATTGCTTGTGAAAAATGAAATTAACTCTCTATTATTGTATTCCGTTCAAAACGAATTGCTTTCGAATTAGATTTCGTAATACGAAAAACATTGAAGCCGAGAAAAATAATTCATTGCTGAGCTATATTATAATAATTACTTAAATATAATTACCAGGTCAATTTGGCCCGAGGGAGCTTGGATTTGTTTTTATAAGACCTGTGATTTTTGAGAGTTTGAACATTTTTATTAGATTTATGATTTCGGATTGTCCCTTAGTACTAGTATCTGTTCTCTTTCTCTTTGTTGTTTCTTGAAGATTTTTAAATTAAACTTTTCAAATTTGTTGCCTTCAGAGCGTTTTTCTTGAATTTTTTTCCAGAAAATGTCAGATCCAAAAATGGAAAGCCGAAGATTAATTTGCCTTCTTGAAATGGAACCATAGATTCTGAATAATTCTTGTAAAAAAAGTCTACAATTTATAGGTACCTTTACATGGATTTAGTGTTAAAACACAAAGGAATTAAAAATCAAATCTATTCATTCACGTTTGTTTAAGATAAAGAAAGAAACATTCGATTTAAATGTATAATGCTGTATTGTATTTGTTTGGTTCATTTGTTTTGTGGTGAACTTAACTTTTTGCAATATATAGCTAAAACTCATTTCAAAAATTACCTGTTACTAGTCCACCAACTCCACCGCCCGATAGTCCAAGATCTAAAAACATAACAAGTCAAATTACACTACAAATTTCGATTATCAGCTAGCCAGGCCCCTATCCAGAGCATCTTGTCGAGTTTTACTATAAGAACAATGTTTTTGTTCGATCATTTCTTTTTATTTGCCTTTGATTTATTTACTAAACGCACAAAAGGAAAGGAATGCGGTAAACTGGAAAAATTTTGTTACATCAAAACAAATTAATTTCAGATTTATTGAATATTGAAAATAAATATAAGAAGATATGGTATGAGTGCCAATGAGACAACTCTCCAAATCACAATTTGTAAAAAGTAAACCATTATAGGTCAAAGTACGGTTTTTAATACGGAGCATTGGCTCACACCGAACAGCAAGCTATAAAGGGCCCCGAAATGACTAGTGTAAAACAATTCCAACAGAAAAAACCAACGGTCTAATCTATATTGATTGATTGATTGGTGATTGCTTCACGCCGTATCAGCACAAAAAGGCTATATCTAATCTATATAAAAAACTAGAAACGAGAAACACTTATGAACCACATAAAAAAACGACAACCACTGAACAACAGGTTCCTGACTAGGAGAGGTGCAAACAAATGCAGCGGGTTTAACGTTTTTTTTTTTCAGGCGCCAACCTTCACCCTAACCTGAAACAGTAGTATAGCATTTCAATATAGAAAGACACACTATAAAATATCAATTGAAATGGTCTAAATCGAATAAAAAAAAATATTAACAAAAACAAGTAAACATACAGAGAACGAATAGATTGGATCTATGAGACAATATAAATACAATATATAAAACAATGTCAAAAAGACAACTATAACAACAAAAAGGCGTTAAATAAAATAACGTACATAGGTAACCTTAAATATAAAAATTTTGTTGTTAGGAGTACGGAAATTTTTTTTTGAAAAAGCATATTTGAGATAGCGGTAGCCTTATAAGGCTTGACCAAACATAATTATAAGGGATAAAAGAAAAAGAAAAAAAAATATCCTAGAACCACCTCCCAGAATTACCAAACTTAACAGGAGCAGAACAAAAACAGTTTTATCGATAGGGCTTTCATATGTAATAGCCAACTTATTTGTTTATTTGTCTACGTGATAACAATCATAATTTCACACGGATTTTGAGTGCATATTTAATATTATTCAAACAATATATCAACTATTAAACAACGACCTCTAAAAGTTTTTGCGTCAATCGTTTGCTTATCGTTTTTCTGTCTAAGTGTAACCTATAAAATTGAGAATTGAAATGGGGAATGTGTCAAAGAGACAACAACCCGACCATAGAGCAGACAACAGCCGAAGGCCACCAATGGGTCTTCAATGCAGCGAGAAACTCCCGCACCCGGAGGCGTCCTTCAACTGGCCCCTAAACAAATATGTATACTAGTTCAGTGATAATGGACGACATACTAAACTCCAAATTATACACAAGAAACTAAAATTAAAAATGATACAAGACTAACAAAGGCCAGTGGCTCCTGACTTGGGACAGGCGCAAAAATGCGGCGTGGTTAAACATGTTTTTTGAGATCTCAACCCTCCCCCTATACCTCTAGCCAATGTAGAAAAAACAAACATACAACAGTACGCACAGTAAAATTCAGTTTAAGAGAAGTCCGAGTCCGATGTCAGAATAGGAAACAAAAGAAAATAAACAAAATGACATTAATACATGAATAACAACAGACTACTAGCAGTTACTGACATGCCAGCTCCAGACCTCAATTAAACTGATTGAAAGATTATGTCTTCATCATATGACTACCAGGCACAATCCCTCCTGTTAGGGGTTTAGTATTATACCATCATAAAATATATGAGAAGAACATAACCCGTGTCATGCAAACAACTGGTTTTAAAACAAAATATGTTTAATTCCGATGCAAAGACCCTATAAGTGAATCAATATTAAAGCCAAAATATGCAATCTTTAATGACCTGACAACAGTATCGTAACTATATCCCTTCTTAAAAGTGTTTAAAGGTTTTGTTAGCTTTTGAGGTGAATACTGACATTTTTGTGCTTTGTAAAGAATATTACCATAAAAGATTGGATGTGAAATACCCGAACGTATAAGATGTCTGCATGTTGAGTTATATTTACGAATGATGTCCTTAGACCGATGATAAAATTTAGTAAATGTTTTGACTAGTTTATGATATCGAAAACCCTGGTGTAATAATTTTTCAGTAATACATAAATTTCTCTTGCTAAAATCTAATACGTTGTTACATACACGGGCGAATCGTACAAGTTGAGATATATAAACACCATAAGATGGTGACAAGGGAACGTCACCATCTAAAAATGGATAATAAACGATAGGAAATAAAAAATCATCTCTTTTATCATAAATTTTTGTATTAAGCTTCCCGTTAATGATATAGATATCAAGATCGAGTAAAGGACAGTGGTCATTGTTAGTATTAGCTTTATTTAAAGTAAGTTCAACAGGATAAATTTCTTTAGTATGCATACTGAAGTCGTCATTATTGAGAGCCAATATATCATCCAAATATCTAAAAGTATTGTTAAATTTTTGTATCAGATGTTGTTTCGATGGGTCTTTGCTGATTTTAGTCATAAATTGTAACTCATAACAATACAAAAACAGGTCCGCAATAAGTGGTGCACAGTTAGTTCCCATTGGAATTCCGATAACTTGACGATATACGGAATCTCAAAAGCGAACAAAAATGTTATCCAGTAAAAATTCAAGGGCAGATATAGTATCATAGCATGTCCAATTGACATAGCTCTTGTTTGTTGCTACTAAAAAATGACCTAAAAGAGTTTGAACATATGTATTCGCATTCCGACTTTTTAAATGCCCATTTAATTAGGTCTGTGAATTTTTTCTTAATAAGAATATGAGGCAAAGTGGTATATAGAGTAGACAACTTTGAACAGATTCAAAATCACCAATATATGCATGCAATTTATCAAGTACTTCCAACGAGTTTTTGACACTCCAAAAGTAGTGAATTCCACTATTTTCAAAGTCCTTATTTGAACAATTTTTTATCAGGTTTTTTATTGTACCAAGTGTACTAGTAAGTAGAATAGACAATTTAGTTGTGGAACAATGATTTTTACACGAAATAAATCTATATTTGTAAGGTGATTTGTGTAGCTTCGGAAGCCAGTACATAGTTGGGACTTTCATTGTATTTGGTTCTGCTTGTAAAGAAGTAGCTAATAGTTTATGTTTGTTACAGATATCGTTTTCTGAAAATGAAGTTATTTTACCGGTAAAAGGTATAATCGTCAAGCTTTAATGCTTTGTCTGTATTGATTCGACTTCTTTAGTTCACATTTTGGTCTTCATGTCTGAATTTTAAATCAGCGGGTTTTTCTCCCTATCTAAATCTGCATCACTAGCAAGATGAACAACAAAATATAACTTAGGGTTACGATATTTAACTCAAGGTTAAAATTTAACCAAGAGATGAAAACAACCGGGTCGTGGTGTCAAACGAATATGTAAGCAGCTTCAATGTTAATAGAAAATTTCGATATTTTGTCGAGTTTAATTTTTTGGCGATTATTGTATTGTGCTCTAACTTTTAAAATAAAAAGTGTTTTGACACACTATTTTTTTTTGGCAAATTAATACTGCTTACACCATCTCCATTGCTATGAAATTCTTGCTTTTGAAATCATGCCAACAGAAAATTATATAAGAAAATTACAAAGGCTTATATGAAGTGAAGAAATAATTACACATACATTTGCAGATTAATGTGTCTGGAGCATTTACCTCTTCCACTTTAGTCTGCATGAAGGTGAAGTTTTCTTCATCTTGTAATAAGACTTGTTTTTATAAGACGAAATCTTGACAATTTAGATAATATTTTATTAAATCTGACTCGGCAGAAATCGAGCATACAACCCCTTCATAAAGTTTTTGTTGTGGTTATGATTAATTCTTACTAATAAAGTAATGTTTGTCTATTTAATTTTATACCCAATGAATCTCATAAATATGATTTAATAACACTGTTGACACAGAGATATGTCTCCCCTGTCAGCAGAAAATTCGTAAACAATCTTATGAACAGTAACATTGCTAATCAATACAAAGTCGCCGGACATTGATCTAGGGGGCAGGGACACGAAATAGTTGTTTTACCGATATGTATTGAAAATAATGCAACTTTGTACAAAATCTAGTTGATCTATCACAAGTTGTTCCAATAATACTGACCTAAGCAGACAACTTAACAATAAAAATTGCTAATTAATTCAATGTGACTGGACCATCACCTCAGGGCAGATCCTAGAAATATTTGTCAAACTGATATGTACTGAAAGCAATGCAATGTTATAGAAATATGATTGATCTATCACAAGTAGTTCCTAAGTGAAGATTTGGAAATTGCTAATCAATTCAAAGTCACTGGACCATGACAAAGGGGATAAGGCCTTGGAAACGTTGTCAAACTGATATGTACTGATAGTAATGCAACTTTAAAGAGAATATCATTGATCTTTGACAAGTAGTTCCTATCAAATTAACTTAAGCAGAAAACTAAACATTGAAAATTGCTTATCAATTGAAAGTCGACAGACAATGACCTAGGGGGCAGTACCTCGAAATAGTCATCAAACTGATATGTACTGAATGTAATGCAACTTTTAACAAAATATCATTGATCTATCACAAGTAGTTCCTATCAAACTGATAAAACTTAACAAATGTTGACTCACCGTTGCTGCCGTCTTGGCCGCCGGACAAGAAACTCCTATATCTCGTTTTACGCGACTTTCGTCGCTGGCTAGACATAAAATATAATGCGAAATACCTTCTTCGGTAGTAACAAATGAAAATTTTGTCGGAACAGAACTGCTGACAAAGTGAGTATCATTTCCGTAATTGGTTGTCATGTTAAACCAGTATGACGTTGTTGCTGATAAGCCTGTTAGGTCAAATGTTGTTGCCTCTTTATGAACCTTAAAAACCTTTGTCGAATTATCTGGACGCACAAGAATAATCGATATCCCTGCCCTTTCATAACATGTTGGGGCTTGAATCCATTGAATGCTGACACTGGTACCTGTTGCTTTTAAAACGGTTATATTCGAAGGACTGAAATCTAAATAGAATTGTTATATTGCAGCTTGTCGAATAAGAACATGTTATCTGCGTATGTTATAACATCTTGACTAACAAAACACTTTATTATATACTAAGTAGTAAATACAGATAAATTGTATGTGTAATACGGTCAACGGGAATCGTGCTGTATCAGCCATCCGTGATGATATCGGTATCCGTCACGGTTGCAAAAGCTTTATCACACCTTTAATCTGTTTGACGTCACGTCATCGATATCAGTCACTGTCGCAAAGGCTTTATTAAACGGCATGTCACATAAAAAAAACATATTCTTGAGGTATATAATAAAGTGTATATGATGGCTTTTTCAATATCTCACACCGTATCAACCCTCAACCAATACAATCCCTCGAGCAGTTGATACGAATGTGATATTGAAAAAGCCATATGATATTCTCTATTAATCGCACATGTATGACTCCAAATACAGAATCTATCAGTCTAATAAAAAATAAAACGAACAAATAAAAACATTACAGGTAATATTTTCTGCTGGTTTGATAATTTTGATCAATTCAAAAAACAAGACGTAGAGTAGATAACTGATTTTGTTTTAAGTTAGGACAGTATCAGGATGTTATATTTGAACGCAAATGCAAAATGTAAGACAATATGACATCATTCATCCCAGAAATTGCAAATCGTGTATTTTATTGTGATTAGAAATATAAAAAGAAGATGTGCTAGGATTGCCAGTGAGACCACTCTCCACAATAGACCAAATAACACAGAAATTAACAACAAAAGAGTTCATTTGACATTTACCGGTTGGATTTTGTTATTACTTCGTTTTAACACAAATTGTTTGCGTATGTCAATTGTAAATCAAAGGTTCATTATTGGACACTATGAATTTCTTACCACCCAAAGCATAATAAATTGAAAATGATATTTTAACTTATTTTAGTGAAAAAGGTCTTAAAAGTAAAATAACAAAAATACCGAACGAGGAAAATTCTTAACGGAAAGTCCCTAAGCAAATGGCAAAATCAAAAGCTCAAACACATCAAACGAATGGATAACAACTGTCATATTCCTGACTTGGTACAGGCATTTTCTTACGAGAACTTTTTTCAAATCAAAGGTGTCAACCATTGCTTTATTCCTAAGTAGCTCTGGTCAATTTCAAACTGTTTTTATCAGTCACTGCAACACATATATAAGGGCACCTATACCAATATCTCATAAAATGGAATTGGATATCAAGTTTTCCCTTAATATAAGGTTAAATAACTGACAGACCACATCATCAATTATTTAAATCAGTTATTTTGCATTAACCATAATATCTTTCGCCCTCATGTGTGTATCTCATACTAACATTCAAGCAATACGTGTATTAATGACACACAATAATACATTTGAGTCTTATAGTTATGCTAATTTGAATGACGACTACTAGACATATTTTTCAGATTTGTCTTGCCCATCGGTAGATTATATTTGGGCAAATATAACAGGTGATTTCAGTTTATGTTCAACATGCTGTATTCAATTGTTAAACGTAGACGAGATTTTGCTCGTTTACATATCCTTCACATATACAGATCAGATGTTATAAAAATGTGTGAATGTTATCATCATTTCATGAATATTATATTTTGCTAGGAAAAGTTTATGGCAGAATAATGGAAACTAACTTACAGTCTTGAACACCATTAATGTTTTTAACCATTCCAATCTATTGAAGAGAAAGATAAATGTTTGGTTATCTTTGATACTTATGCAATAGGATACTTTCTACGTTTTTCATGTATGTACTATGGGGCATAATGTCAAAATTTCAACAGAGTTCATTAATTTGAAGATGGGTGAAAATGAAATAAAAATAATCAATCTTAATCAAACAGTTTTTGTTTACGTAATATAATCTTGATAAAAGATTAGAAAAAAAACTGATTTCCATCAGCTTATCTGATTTGACTTTATCTATCGCGTAAAAAGATTAACTACACGTACCTTTTTTGTAATGCTTGATTGAAGCATTGCAGAGTTAAACACCGAAACTTCAAGTAAATAAACATCATTTGCAATGTCACCAATTGGAACTTTCATCCAACAATTGTTAATTTCAAGTTGTGTGTCTATCATGAAACAATCATCCATCCGAACACAGTAACACTCTTTTGGTAGTTTTTCGCAGTATTCTCGTGTCTAAGGTAGGGGAAAAAACAAAGGACGATGTACGATAAGTGCAGTATTTGGCCCCTTTATTTGTAAAAAAATTGAATATCAATATCTGGGGAAAAATTTACCTTAATAACATATTGAAGTTTTGTATTTTATGAAAATAAAACAAGTATTCAAGTTCATTCAGGAAATCGATTATGAAGGAAACTAAAAATAAACCATAAATTGATGTCTATACGGAAAATCCTACTTTTCCTACTCTTCTTTGAATAATTAGAATATGAACGCAAATGAGAACATGTAAGATATTTTACATACGGTATGTATGATAAAGTATCAACATTATATACATAGTTGTTCTGAACTGCGCTCATGTCAAAATATTAAAAAATTATCATGTACAGTCGTTGATTTTTGGGTGTGTTTTATTTTTGTTTGACAACTTCCGGATTTTAGTTGCCAGGGAAGCTGTATATCATCAAAAACAACATATGATACTGCTCTAATAATATATAATTATAGAATGGTAAATGTGATACTTTTGTATCCAAAAACTAGACTAGTTCCAAACAAAAGAAATCATCAATACACGAAACCACCACTCATGTTCAGAGCAGACGTCATATGTAACTTAGCTCTCCATCTCAAAGCATAAATTATAATACAATGGTAAATGTGATACTTATTTGTCCAAAAATGTGATATATTATAGGGGGATAAGGCATGGGTTCCATAAAAAGTTCCAAACCAAAGAAGTCTTTGGATAAAATACAAAAATACAAAGATGTGTTAAAGTATGAGGAAGATGAATGCGTTGTTGTACAAGGTGTTAAATTATACTAAAAGCCTATAGGTGTAGTATATTTCCAAAACAATACAATTCATACTTTAGCGTTCGCTGTCTTGATCGTATTGTTATTTTGCAATAAGACTTCCTACAAAAAGTTGCACTTCTTTAAAAATAGAAAATGCAATTTCCCATGGACACTCCTTTTACTGCTAAAACTGTGCCACTTTTACTATTAAGTTTCGAAATAAAAAAATATCCTAGAATGGAAATATTTTTTTTCAAAGGTCAAATCATAGGGCTGAGCTGCATATGTTCAACATTTATATGGCTCGAACTTCTATGAGTTTAAACCTATACTAAAACACTGTACTGACCCTCCCTTCACTTTTGGTCTTTCTCAGAATTCAATTTGGCCGCTATCCATATGTATTTATGCTAGTAACATTCCTACGTTGTTTCTCTAGGAGATGAAGCATAGAGATCATATATGGGAACCAGTAGGTAAACAAAAGTATAAATATCTATGAAAATTATATATCTTCCCCAAAAAAGGTGTGGTTTGTGAAACACTTACATTTGTTATGGCAATCACAATTGCAATAATAAAAAGAACCAATGAAAAAGAAAAATACAAGGTAAATAATACCAAATGAATCCAAGACATGGGCACATGCAAACAGCAGATCATTCGTTAAACTCTGACTTTGTATAAGTTAAATAATGTGCTCTGGAAATGGAAGCATATATTGCTGCGCATAAAAAAATAATAGCCTAAGTCTTATATTATTGATTTCTATAGCTTCATTGATTGATGTGATCGATTGATTGATACATGTTTAAATTCCAGTGACAAATTTTTAATGAATTCCAAAAAAGAAAAAATCTGCATTGAAATCCTAATCCTTGCATCAAAGGTAAAGGTTCAACCATTCATTGAACTTCTTATCGTAGACACTTCGCAAAAACCTATTTCATTGTGTAAGAATCAAAGGATATACGTGGTCGAAGTCAATGTGATAGCAACGTTACGACAATAAAAAACATACTTAGGGGTCAACGTTAGACATGTTTCTTTGCATGGTTTCCAGCTACAAATTGACATAATTCTTAAATAATTTTTCATGTATTGTACATAGACTATCAACTATCTATTTCAACAACAAAATGTTTAAATAATAAATAAAAACATTACGATATACCAAAGGACAACAACTGACGAGATTTCCGAAAAGCACATGGACACGAGGCGGGCTAGTCTCAATCAGTTTAAATTTACAGGATAGCATAAAAGAATAATGTTTTTTTTATGATGTTGATGTATAAAATATTCTCCGCCGATATGAGAATGTATAGAACAGCATGTTTTTAAATATGTAGATAAGTTATTTTAATCTTGCTTTTATCGATTTTTATGTTTTATTACCTTTGTTTGTATGTCAAACGTATGCTCGCTTCTGACCTCCTCTGTTTTGTTTACTTTGAATTTAAATGACACTTTCTTTATACCACTGTGTTCATCCTTGGCAGACACAACAACACTGAAAGAAATGTTACTTTTAATGAAAACTTCAAACACGATTAATAAGTTTAGTCATTATAATAGTAACTAGTTTATCATATTAATCAAAAAAGTAAAAGAAGACGGTTGAAAAAAAGGAATAACATTTTTTCATAACAATTACAAGTTGGTCGGTTTAGGGTGTGGGGAGTTAATTCATGTTCTTAACAGCAACTTGATGGTCTTAAGTCGGTATGAAACAACTACAGTATACACAGTTAAGAGTATTACGAAGATTAAACTCGAAAATTTGACAATAGAACTTTACAAATTACACTTTGTTTATTGGTAAAAAACTGTTGTCTCATATATTTCGCCTTTCTTATCAATTTTTAAGTCACAATTATTAAACAAAGAAAGTAGTGAAATAAAAAAAGTTTACCTGCTAGAGAAAGGATACTTTCCATCTTTTATGTTAAGATCTATCATTGGTTCGTATACAAAAGGTTCACTGCTATCAAAATGAATAACGGTAGAGTCCACTTTTGTATTACCCATGATATCAAATGCTCGAACCCAAAATTGGTGAGAATCTCCATCTTCTATATCAATTCCATCTAGCTTAAAGGTAAAATTTTCCCGAAGAGGAATAACGGGAACCCATCCGTTTTGTGGTATATCTGTGCTGACTTTTCCATGCCTGGTTTCAAATCGTACAATGGAGTTTATGTTTTTAATAGCCGTTTTATTTCTGACGCCCTCAGTGTCATCAAATATCGGTAGGATTTTCTTGTAATCGACTCTACTTATATTATCACTCAGTCTTGGTGTATAGTCTAAAATCTTGGTCAGAAAATGACCCTTTTCGTGCACGTTGTTTAAAAAATGATTAGTCCATGACACATCAATGTGTGGACTAAACTTCGTCATCCAAAAGAAATGCGTTTCATTGGATGCAGAAGTTGCATACAAGCGATGAATTTCACTGGTAATTATTTTTGACGTGTTGTCATAAATGACAAATCTTCTGGCATATTTAGAATTATTCGCTCTATCATTAACTTCTATAATAACAGAATAAACACCTGGATCTATTGGTTTGTACGTAGGAAACTTTATGGGGTTCTCAGGAAGTATTTCCTTTATATAATCCGGAACTGGATTGAAGTTTGTTGTTATATCTGGTTCTCTTAAACCTGTATAATCGATGCTATACTCCATTTTCCAAATTTCTATGACATATTTTCCTATCCCCGATAGCTTGTCAAACCATCCAGACCATTTTGGTGAAATTGGTGACTTCAAATTATAAGAAATTCAATTAAGCATATTTTATTCAATAATAAACGGTTTATTCAAATGTCACATTTGATTAATATGAGAATAATTTGAACTGTTGAAATATTACTTGCTGTCATTTACTAAGAAAAATCTCGTTCATACCTGTATAAAACAAATCGATAAAATGGTGTAACTACTATGACTATAAGCCAGATTTTCCTCTTAGTTGACATATTAGATATACTGGTATGGGATACTTCAATTATTTTGTTATTTTTGTATTTATTTACTTCTTTTTTAATGTGATGCTATTACACATTCATCTATATATATATATATACACAAGTCTAAATTAAAAACAACGTTCAACTCTATGATTGCGTTGGATAAAAACCGCAATTTTTATAAGTGTGCATGTAAAATAAATTTCTTGGTAGAGGGGTCAAAATACAGCACAGACAACATTTTCCAAAAGACCAGTAAAGTGAAAAAGTATATTTTAACAAAACGCATTTGACTAACAGGTCGAACAACAAATGTTCTTAAACCCTGCTGACTACCATTGGTGATTGCCAAATAAACGGATCATCGATCTAATAAATGGATCTTTATTATAAATTTAATACTAAATAAAAAACAATAAATTTGTGAAAAAGATGGTATACCGCAAACAAAAGGTGCAAAGGTTTTTGTACACCATATCCGGATTTCGACAATTAATGTCTATTCAGTGATGTTAGGAATAGGAACGGTATTTAGAAAGCCATACAATTTACCTCAATTTAGGATAGACTCTTGAATTTTGAGGAGTCAAAATAGGATGAACGGATCATATAAACCCGAAAGCAAATATAATACAAGCCCAAACGAAAAAATATAAACAAGTCTAAATTGAAAACAACGTTCAAACCTATGATTGCGTTGGATAAAAACCGCAATTTTTATACGTGTGCATGCAAAACAAATTTCTTGTTAGAGGGGTCTAAATACAGCACAAACAACATTTTCCAAAAGACCAAAAAAGTGAAAAAGTATATTTTAACAAAACGCATTTGACTAACAGGTCGAACAACAAATGTTCTTAAACCCTGCTGACTGCCATTGGCGATTGCATAATAAACGGATCACCGATGTAATAACAGGATCTTAATCATAAATTTAGTACTGAACAGAAAACAATCAACTTGCGGAAAAGATGGTATACTGCAATCAAAAGGTGCAAAGATTTTTGTACGCCATATCCGGATTTCGACAATTAATGTCTCTTCGGTGATGTTAGGAATCGAAACGGTATTTGGAAAGCCATACAATTTACCTCAATTTAGGATAGAGTCTTGAATTTTGAGGAGTCAAAATATAATGAACGGATTATATAAACCCGAAGGCAAATATATAATACAAGCCCAAACGAAAAAATATAAACAAGTCTAAATTGAAAACAACGTTCAATCCTATGATTGTGTTTGATAAAAAAACTGCAATTTTTATACGTGTGCATGCAAAACAAATTTCTTGTTAGAGGGGTCTAAATACAGCACAAACAACATTTTCCAAAAGACCAAAAAAGTGAAAAAGTATATTTTAACAAAACGCATTTGACTAACAGGTCGAATAACAAATGTTCTTAAACCCTGCTGACTGCCATTGACGATTGCCAAATAAACGGATCACCGATGTAATAAATGGATCTAAATTATAAATTTAATACTAAACAGAAAACAATAAACTTGCGGAAAAGATGGTATACTGTAAACAAAAGGTGCAAAGGTTTTTGTACAACATATCCGGATTTCGACAATTAATGTCTCTTCAGTGATGTTAGGAATCGAAACGGTATTTGGAAAGCCATACCATTTACCTCAATTTAGGATAGACTCTTGAATATTTTGAGGAGTCAAAATAGGATGAACGGATCATATAAACCCGAAAGCAAATATAATACAAGCCCAAACGAAAAAATATAAACAAGTCTAAATTGAAAACAACGTTCAAACCTATAATTGCGTTGGATAAAAAACCGCAATTTTTATACGTGTGCATGCAACAAAAATTTCTTGTTAGAGGGGTTTAAATACAGCACAATTAACATTTTCCAAAGGACCAAAAAAGTGAAAAAGTATATTTTTACAAAACTCATTTGACTAATAGGTCGAACAACAAATGTTCTTAAACCCTGCTGACTGCCATTGGTGATTGCCAAATAAACGGATCACCGATGAAATAAATGGATTTTAATTATAAATTTAATACGAGACAGAAAACAATAAACTTGCGGAAAAGATGGTATACTGCAAACAAAAGGTGCAAAGGTTTTTGTACATCATATCGGATTTCGACAATTAATGTCTCTTCAGTGATGTCAGGAATCGAAACGGTATTTGGAAAGCCATACAATTTACCTCAATTTAGGATAGACTCTTGAATTTTGAGAGAGTCGAACTAGGATGAACGGATCATATGAACCCGAAGGCAAATATAATACAAGCCCAAATGAAAAAATATAAACAAGTCTAAATTGAAAACAACGTTCAAACCTATGATTGCGTTGGATAAAAGAAACCGCAATTTTTATACGTGTGCATACAAAACAAATTTCTTGTTAGAGGGGTCTAAATACAGCACAAACAACATTTTCCAAAAGACCAAAAAAGTGAAAAAGTAAATTTTAACAAAACGCATTTTACCAACAGGTCGAACAACAAATGATCTTAAACCCTGCTGACTGCCTTTGGCGATTGCCAAATAAACGGATCACCGATGTAATAAATGGATCTTTATTATTAATTTGATACCAAACATAAAACAATAAACTTGCGGCAAAGATGGTATACCGCAAACGTGAGACGTTTATTTGGCAATCGCCAATGGCAGTCAGCAGGGTTTAAGGACGTCCGTTGTTCGACCTGTTAGTCAAATGCGTTTTGTTTAAATAAACTTTTTCACTTTTGTGGTCTTTTTGAAAATGTTGTTTGTGCTGTATTTAGACCCCTCTAACAAGAAATTTGTTTTGCATGCACACGTATAAAAATTGCGGTTTTTATCCAACGCAATGATAGGTTTGAGCGTTGTTTTCAATTTAGATTTGTATATATATATATATCCGAAAACAGTTTAAAGAAGCGATATTCCATGTTTTGAAATTTTTAAATGTATCAAAAACTCATTTTTAATAGAGTAAATTAATACAAACTCCTACGCACTGTTTGTTGGGGTTTCTTTTTTAAAGCATCAACTGCAAGTTATAATTTCAAAATGTGAACCTCAATGGTTGCGGATCATTTAACGGCATGTTGAATGTCAATTATCTTTTTTTAATATTTTTCGGCGACTTCTGATTTTTTATTTATTTATACTGGCAGGTAAAAGTATAAGTGTGTTCATTAATTTGACACCATTTTCCGGTGCTGGGGGATAGTCTTGCCCCTTCCCTTTTTCTTTCGCAAGTAGTCAAACCATAGAATCACACTAAAATTAACAATACAACCGTCTTAATCAATTGATTCATCTAAATTATTCTTGACGAAGAATAGCACTAGGGAAAAATATTCCTGAATATAAGAGTTAATTATGATTATATGAAGTAAAATAATACATTCGTAGAAATATTAATAAAAATCTGCCATTCACTTATTTTTGTTTTCCATAACATGAATGACCCTTTTGTATCTTACGCCTCTCGACTCAATTGGTAAACCTTCTAAACCAATATATCTTGATCGCTGGTGTGCAATGATGCAACTTTCAAATTTTACATTTAAGTCGTCTTTATATTTTGATATTTTTCTAAATATAAACACAGATGGACGACTAAAAACTAGAATATATGATAAACGTGATGAAATTAAATTTTTTATAGTCAACCTCTTGTTTTATTACCACTGGGTTGATACCTGTACTGGTGGACTGTTAGTCCCCAGGGGTATTACCAGCACAGTAGCCGGTACTTTAGTACTGGTATTGTTTGATTTAAATTTGCTGTAATAAAATTTTGAACATCATTTTAAATTAGGGAATATATCTCCCTCATAAAAAGCTATGTTTCCTTGTTAGGATTTGGCCATAATTAATGTCCTTTTTGGTTTGATAAGTTCTTTGACGTTTGTTTATATTTTGGTTTTTCAAATATTTGGCATCGAGCCCAACTGAAGATACATTTATTGTCGAAATGCGCAATGTGTGCAGTAAAATTGATACCGTTAATGTTATTCTCATTTCTCAGCAGTAACAGAGTATTACCCCCTGCATCCAATTGAAACGGTACGCTCTTGCATCTTAACACTGTATGGATTTCATAAGCAGGGGTATGGTAGTTACACAAAACTGTTCCAACATAGTAATGTGAAGGGCAACTGAAATCGACAATAAGATTAACATTGGCCATCAAGAATTGGTTGAAAGATAAGATATGTTTGAGTCACAACTCACTCGCGACGATTGCATTCTTAGATCTTTAGTTTCTATAATACTGAGTCTTCTAATCCATTGTTTTATCGATTGTTTCTAATTCCCGATTGTGACATTTTGACCGAGTGTAGATTTGCATGGCGGGTAATACATGCATAGCAGTAGACGCTTCCTAGTCGAAGAACCCGATATCAACCATTTTGGAGTTCATATGCTCCCATCAGTTTTTGTTTCTCATCTTGATTTGTCTTCTTAATCAATTTATGACATTTATAAATCGATAATCTACTGTTGGCCTAATTTACCTTAGTTATATCTTGCAACTGCAATGGAATTTCATTTGAAGTACAATTGTCCTTTTCTATGCAATGGTTTGGTTCATCATAGTCAAACCAGAATTCCATGGAGTTTTCTTCGCTTATACCAGAGTACGTTTCCGTTCTCAAATAACTCCCATAATTGGTGTTTCTAAGCTTCCTATATCCACCAGTTGTTATTGAATATTTTAATTTATACCTGCAATAATATGACAAACAACGATGAATCATATATCGCAACCACAGCGCAAACACCATCCTTTGTTTTAGCAATGGCACAATTCTGATTTAAAATATCAGTTCATTATTTCGAATTCATTAGAATTATTGGATATGTGTCATTTTTCAAAAATCAATTCAAAAGGTCTCAATGTTATTTAGATCTGCGCACATTTTAAAACCAAATGAATATTTCCGAACGAATACCCCAGGCCCGCTTTTCTTTTAGTATATTGAAGTAAATTAATTCGGTTATCTTCATTTTTGAGTGTTAAGTTACACGCATATTCCTCAATTTACACCATCGGTTAGTGTTCTATAACTGCATAAAGTCTCATAAATATCCGCCTAGATGTTTAGGAGGAGATTCGTGTACAAGGAAACTGGACAAACAGACGACAGCAGACAAACGAACAGATAGAAAGACGGACGGATAGACAGGGTCATCCATAAGTTCTTCGGAAATTGTTTGCTGTGGTATAATAAAAGAAGATATGGTGCATAAGTTCAAAATGCAGAAATCAAATAATGAATTAAAACCAAGTAAACTAGTAGTGTACCAGCAGCGTAACCTACCTAGTGGTTATAACAAATACATCCCAACCAGAAGTAAAGCAGATAACTTGTGTTTCTATTTGAAGTATTTGATAGATTAAAACGATTATTCATGCTAAATGTACAAAACGGAGTTAACTACGAAAGTCAAACTTTTAATTTAAATACTTTATACCACTTGGTTGATGAGAAAATTATGAAGTACCTTGTTCAAATTCCCTGTACAATTGAAAGGATAAAAATAATTACTTAAATCATAGCAGAACACCCTGATGAAAACTATTTCAGTTATATGGACTGTTAAACTTAAATCAGTGCACTTATTAATTAAATGTCAACTCTTTTTTTTTTTTATGTATAAAGTGATTCTGACCAAACTATAAACAAGAGTTAGATTCTCTTGGTGATATATACGCTGACCAATTACTGCAGGACTATTATTTCTGGTTAATTTTATTTCATTTGAATGTATAAACAAACATTTACTGGATACAAACACGATGAAATCAAAAGAGATGCAATAATTTATGAATAAACACCTTATTTGTCATCCATTTGCTGACACTTTCCACCCAAAAAGAGTAAACATTACGGATGAAAACAATATATTGATAGACATTGCTATAGTCACACAATTAAGACGGTATAAAATCCTAAACAAATGATCGTTCAGCTCAACGTCATATTTATAACGGTGATCCGGAAAAAAACCTCTCATGTTGAATTGAAAATTCTTTCTTTTTTATTATACAGTTAAAATATTACCTATCAAGATAAATTGCGGGATCCTTTACATAAATTGATACATGAGATGCAAAAGTATGACATTGACATAAAGTTTTTTATTCTGCCTGACGATTACTTTAATAAATGCTACAAGAGTGACAATTTTAGTAAAGTATTGGAAAGAACAGGCCAAGAGGAACATCATTACTTTTATCAAGTAAAACGCAACATTACGGTTCGGGTTTTGCGTATTATTTCGAAGATGGTTCTAACCAACCGACACTTAAACGTTTATGATACGACATTTAAAGAAGCGAAGCTAACAACAAATTAAAACGAGTCTAGAAGTTCAATAGTATTGACAATTCTCTACCAGTTTGTGCTATCTCTGAAGATGGTTGCAGTTTTTGCTCTTCAAAAGAGGAAAGGCTTGTCGAAGTGATGATTCAAAACGAGCATTTAATATACGATTGTTTTAAAGTTGTTAAATGTCTTCTTTTGTTTAATTTTTCATAGATAAACAGCAAGTTTCTTGTAAGGAAGATGCTTTATGTTCCCTTGTTAAAATTGGTTATTACCTGAATTATATCCTGCCAGTGATCGGCCTGTAGGATAAAAAATATTTGAACAGACATTGTGTACACGACTCCAACCATTTTTACTCAAAACAATTTTCCTTACCATTGAGCCTGGTCACTTATTAAGTTATTGTAATTCACAATGTGCAGTTATTATTAAATAGCGTAAATCGAACAACTACTTTGAGGTTAATATAGGTGAACGACAGGGAAGGATATTTTCTGCTTATTGTATATTAAGTGTTAATTAATCAACGAACTGGTTAATTAATTGAAAAGATGCAATAAAACTTCTATTAAAGCACAATGACTTGAGTGTGTAGGTAAAGGTAATATCTTTGGGTGGCTTGCTTGCTAGTTGAACAATGAAATCATTATCATACTACCTTCCTTTTAGCGGAGTCAATTATTATAGTTAAGCAGAGAACCAATCAAAATTAAGGACAGTGCTTAAACATTGTGAAACCAGTTTAGAAATATGTTATCAATCTAAATTTATAGTGGAGTCACTTTAACCATAAAATCAAATTTTCAATATACTCACGTAACACACGGCTAAATAATTTATCACTCGACAGCTCAACATCTGTATTTTCTGTTTTGCCCGGTCGTAAAAAAATTGTACGGTGCAATTTCCGTCAAATCATGATCAAAGGTCATGGACGAACAGGTGCAAAAATTCCAAGATGTGAGCTTTATTGCATATTCTGTCTTCTTTGTGATAAAATTATTATCGAAAATAAACTGACAACGCCATGGTTAAAAAAGAAAAAGACAAATAGACAAACAATAGTACACAAAACACTACATAGAAAACCAAAGACTAAGCAACACGAACCCTACCAAAAACTGGGGGTGATCTCAGGTGCTAAAAGAACTAGAAAATGGCATTCTGTTTAATGATTGCAAACATTTGAAATGTTTATTCTTGACATTTGACCTTGATTTTACTATAATTGCACCGTACGTTTTTTTTCGACCGGGCAAAACAGAAAAAACAGATAATTAGCTTTCGAATGATATAAAATACAGCTGTGTGTTAGGTTGGTGCATTTAAGTCCTTAACTAAGCGTCTTTTTTGAAAAATGTCACTCGACTATTAGAATATAGTGGCAATAATTAGCTAATTCACAAGCATGTGGTATTGTCCATTTGACTTCTATATATTTGCAGAAAATAGTTCCTAAAAATCCATTTTTTCAAATATTTTTTTTTTTCGCTTGATGTATGTTAATATATGATATATATGACTATTAATTAAATAACTTTTGGTTTATAATATAAAAAGTTTCTCATTAGGTCTCTATGTTAATTTTATTTTTTGAAGTGTTGATCACCTGATGGAGTAAGTATAAATAGTGCAAGGGCCTTTCAATCAAAACAAAAACATGTGCTTTGAATGTTTGTTTCTATAAACCATGTGACTTTACCTCTTTAAATATTAAAGGACACCAGTGAAAATGATCATCACTTTATAGTTTTGATTATTGATCTTATATCATTTTATAAGTAAACTTACTTCTATTCATAGATGATTTTGGAAATAAAAGCTATTATTACTAGATCTTTTCGGATATTTTGGAATCCTTAAAAACATTTTATTTTTTTTTATTTTGTCTTTGAATGATTAAATATTTCTATAACTTTTAAAGGGTTATAAGCAAGCTTTTCACGCTTTTAGCATAGTGAGTTTCATAACAAGACAAAGAGGCTTTAAAAAAACAGAATAAAAATTGTATACATTTAGTTATTCATTTATTTGAAAAATGCACATCTTGGAAGCAAACAAGTCAGGAAAGTAAATATTTTTTTTTTTAAAGTTGCAATAATAAAGACCTATAACATAACATATGAAGGTATACATATAAAACCAAATGATATATTCATTTTCATAGCATTTGCCTATAAAGTACTTTTTTACTAGTTTATACTTTTCTAAATAGAAAATGGACAATGGAGAATATTATCATATATAGAACAATTGAAACAATCACATGATATGAAACCTTATTTAATTTGCTGGTCAGTTAAGGTCATCTCAATATTTAAATATACAAAGTCACATGGTACAAAGAAACAATTATTCAAAGCACATGTATGTTGTTTTTGTTTTGATTGGAAGGCTGTTACACTATTTATATTTACTCCATAAGGTAATCAACACTTAAAATAAGAAAAATTAACATAGAGACCTAATGAGAAATATTATTAATTATAGACCAAAAATTATGAAATTAATAGTCAGAGTTCGTATACATTATATAATAACATACATCAAGGAAAAAAATGTTTTTTTCTGCAAATATATAGAAGTCAAATGGGCAATAGGTATGTTTGATTTGTCAATTCAACTTCAATCGAAACAATACAATACCATTTTTACAATAGCATGGTGAGAGGAACATCTTAAAGATTTGACCCGACTAAGTTTATTTTTAATGATATGCTTATTACATATATAAACATATATAATAGTTATATGAATAGTTGTTTTTTAAATCGATTAAATCATAATGTTATAAAGAATAACACATGTAAGCAATCTAGTTATAATTGAACAAAGGTAATTGATTGAAATGAAATTGACAAATCAAACACACATACAACCTGACAACATATGTTTGAACTATCTTGTAAAACTTGTTTCACTGTTTCACAATATTTATATACTGTTCCTACTTTTGATTGGTTCCCTGCTTTATTGTTGCCTCCACCCAAAAGAAGTTATTAGCTTAGCTAAGAATGATTTTATTGTTCAGCTAACAAGCACGCTAACGAAATATACTACCTTTACCTACACACTCAAGTAAATGTGCTGTAAATTGTTAAACTACATCCTGACTTGCGCGACAGATATTTCTAGAATAAATTTCATCAGGTACGGTCATAAACCTAAATTAATGGACAGTGTTTTCATTGTATTTCCAGCTATATGTTGTCTCAATCCTGGACAAATTGTATATGAATGTAAAATAGAGTAACATTATAGACTTTTTTATATTTAAGTGACCCACCTGTCTCCAGAGTCAAACTGAATTATATATGATTCTTTTTTGTAGCACTTCAAACGATTGTCACTGATGGGTTTCCCAGTTGATACACCTGGACAAGAAAAGGTCTCTTCCTTTGCTGTATATATCCCACCTACAAAATAATAGTACAATCAATACGAATGATTTATACATACAATACGCCTCAATATAGTCTTTTTGTTTAAGGGTACATAAAAAGATTAAAATTCACCAACATTTGTATAAGAGTACTTAAAAGATTCACCAACACTATATTGACCATAAAAATAGGACAGGGATTACTAAAACTGAAGGCAGACTATATTTTTCATTGCAAAGGTCAGGCAAAATCAATATTAAATGTGCACCATTGATGCGTGAGAAGATAATTATTTGATAATTTTAAGTCATTAAACGCTTCTTCAACCATACATTACTTGTGAATTAGACACGCCTAAAGGCGTTTTACTTTTAACTCTGTTTTCGTATTAGGATTATCATATCTCTTGTATTTTCATTTTTGAAACAAGCAACAATAGTCTACCAAAGTTCTTTTTTGATACATTTTATAGTTTTATAGGAGTGATCAAATAAAATGAGAACAAAATGAGGGAACTTCGTGAATCCCAAAAACAGCGAGACCTGGAACTTTGGTCGGTAGGAGACTGATGCTGTTATGCATCACCCTCCATGCGAATTTAGACTCATTCAAAATATCATAATATCACCATGAAAACATCTCTATGTTAAGTTTAAATACAGATACGTCTTACAATCAGCCAATTTGTGATGTAGATCATAAAATCTTTAAATCGTTGATCTCAGTCGTTTTTCCTCGTTTTTGTGATAAAATACGGCAGAAATCAACTCAATTTTTAAGTAAACATAAAGCAATGAATTTAAATTTCAGTAAGAAATAAGGTAGGAAAATAACCCTGGTGTGAAACAAGTCCAGTAGGAAAGTACCGTAAAATAATAACTGTGAAATGTATATTGAAAAAGAGAGGCAAAGGATACCAAAGGGACACTCAAAATCACAAGTCGAAAACAAACTGACAACGACATAGACAAAAATCATAAAGACAAACAGACAAACAACAGTACACAAAACAACATAGAAAACCAAAGACTGAGCAACACGAATCCCCACCAAAAACTTGGGGTGATCCCAGGTGCTCCGGAAGGGTAAGCGGTTGAATCAATAAACAACTTTCTTTTCACAGAAATTGAAAATAGATTATTAAAAATCTGTTTATATTTTGTTATATTGAAGATGCTAGACAAACTCTTGAATAGCTTCATATATTTGTCTTGTTTGATCATGTTGGTTAATCATTTATCTTGCATACAGACATTAATAAATGTTTGATAGTTTCATTAATCAAAAATGTAATTTCTGAATTTACATTTATTTTATAGAACATTGATTTTACCTCTTCTCAGTTTTTCATGAATGATTTTAACACTTGCAGCTACAATACCCAATTTGGTTTCTATTATGTATGTAGGTACAGGTGGATTGTCAGGAAAAACAGTTTTAGTATCTACGTAGGCTTCCAGATCAAATTCTAATTGGTTGAATTTATTTTGATTTGTCCACACAACATCACCATCAGTTCTATTTGTCGCATCGGCCATGTAGTCGTAAACATCTTTATTGTTTGTAAAACTGTGGTAAGTGAAAGTTGAATTAATCCTCTCAATTAGTGGTTTAAACTTTTTGCTCTTTACTGGAAAGAAAGAATACATAATATAAAGAAACGGAGTGTGGAAATTTAGTATTAAACATCGTTTTTGATAATTTGAACTCATATTTTGAATTCATGGAATGTAAAATGATTCAGTTTATTATAATAATTAATTAATCTGATTCTAAGTTATAAGCAAATAACAACGATTGATTATATTTTTTTTTTGCATTATGACCAGTGACAGATATTTCAAGCATATTACAAATGTAAAGCCAAATAAATAAGATATAAAAAAGTCTGAAAACAGAAAGAGATGGCAATTGGAAGGAGTATATTTTTTCTGTCCCTTTTTCCGAATAATTATTCAAGATGCAAGATGATTTACCTTTATTCAAGTGAAGTAAGCCTTAAAGGAAAACATTGCAGATCGAAATTGTGAAATTATTTTTTTCTGAAACAATTTCAGAATTTTTCAACGTCGAGGCCTTTTAAGTGGATCACTGTCACCAAGTGTTTCTGTTAATTGTATGAATAAACCCATCATAGATACGATACCATAATTAAAATATATAAACAGATATTTGGTATATGTCATTTTGATAACAGAAACAGAAATAAAGCGAATACATATTTATTCATTTGCCTCTATACCATAATGACTTACGTTCTAAACAACTTCTGCCACCGAATCCATTAGTGCAACTACACCCACTACCGCCATAACACCTTCCTGGATAACAAGGTTTGTTGTAAGAGCAATCAGATACTGTAAAGATAAGTATCAATATTAAAATGTCCTTTTCGCATATGGTATTAATCCATCTGTACCTTAGTGGATGTTATTTAAAAAACCATCATTTAAATCGTTCAATTAATGAAGCACCTGAACCGGTACATACATATATACGATGTTATTTGTATTATCTGGTTCTGTCCTGGCCTTATGTAACAGGTATTGTAAAATGGTGTTGTTTCCTTCTATGTTTCTCAATTAATGTATAATCTAATATATTTGTATGCAATGTGATAAAAGCTCTTTATAGGGCCCTTTAATTGGGAAAATAAAATATTCTTATTTTTATTAATATTCTTATATACGTATTAGTAATGCCTTACCGTCAAATTGAAGCTACCTGTATATAAAACGTATGTACATTTTTTGTAGAACAATTTAGTGACGTTTATTTTATATAATACGCACTCACAAACGCCGCTACTAACACACAAATACATGTATGTCTACCAAGTACTAATTATACGTTATCGTTACGATAATGGTCAATTTTGTAGTTTGTGCATACATTATTTACTAGTGGCTACTACCGGATAAACAGTAATTATATTAACATCCAGTCATTGATAACTGTAGGCAAGTTATTTTAAAATTGTACGTCTGCCACATGTACAACCGTTCAAGAACAGTAAACGTAAAACAAACAGTATGTACATCCGATGCACATATCGCCTGTTTAACTATCATAAGATGATCAAGCAAAACCAAATAGTACTTACAGCCTGAACATATATCTCCTGTATAACCACTAGGACAAGAACATTTAAACGGGCTGGTACATCTACCGCCATTCCGACACGACGGGCTACAAATAGCTGAAACATAGAGAAATGTATTCAATTGACCAAGATTTCACAAAAAAAGTTATACAGACCTTTCTCCAAGTATATCTTCAATTATGTTCGAAAACAATCAAACTAAGCCAAACATAACATAAGTATCAAATAAAACTCAGCACTTGTTTATAGGAACAGCTAGACAGTTTATGTGCAACAAGTTTTATTTTATTAAATAAAAAAAAAGAACAATAAATGTTGTCCATCAAAAAGCACACTGACCGCGGCGGATCATGATTTTGAACATACATGAAGACGATCTATAAAATACAAAAAATCGTCATGTAACAATATGTTTTTATAAAATATGTACAGTACTCAAATGTATAAAAAATATTCTGTATATAATAGCTGGGGGGGGGGGGGGATGGAAATCAAGTGCGTACTTTTTTGACCGGGTCCAAGTTGGTGGTGTTACATCTTACATTAAATTATTAACATCTATTTTATCAGCAATCAAAGCCGGTCTCCAAAGTTATTGTGAAACTGCCTATTCTAGACGTGGCGTGAATCAGATGTGGATACTAAAAAATTCCAAAGATCTTTTAGAGTACATACAATCTAAGACTCTCTCATCTTGCAAGGGCATATGCTACAGTTCTGATCCTACGGTGATTATTTTATGAAAATGTGCATACAAACTATATGAAATGATTATATTCACCTTGTTAATTTAAATGAGTTATAAAATGTACCGTCAGGTGACAGAGATAAACGGCGCAGAAATTTTTACACATTTACTCAAAATTTCGGTTTCCTCGACATTTTTATCCTTGGACTGACATACCTTTTTTTTTGTTTCAAAAGATAAACACACGCGTATTTTTGTAAAAACATTTGGAATATCTTTCTTACATAATTTTGTAACATTTCTTCGGAAATAATTGAAAATTTTTTCATGATTTTGGAAATAAAACGTCATTTGTTTATGTATATTAATGTATTTAAAATATAATTAATCAGTAATTTGTTCGGAAAAAATGGTACAAATAATCTTTATATATTATGAAACCAAATATCATTTTAAAAAGGGGGGTTTATGACTATCTTACTTTCATTTAAGAAGATATGGACATTATACAAATTATTACCATCGTTTGTTTGTGTTTTCATGTTTTGACGACTTTCAGTTTACCATTCGTGCATTTTCCCGTAAAATCCTTACATTCTTACGTCATCGTTTAATGACGTTATTTACACCATCTGACGTGAGGTAAATCATTCATTAACGGCATACAACGTGGAAGTTGGATTGGAACAGCCCAAATAAATCATGACGTTGCCTATCAGCTAGCATAAATATATTCGAATTTTACCACGGGTGTGTACTCAAGCGTTTGAATACCTTCAAACAATTAAGGTTTTCTATAAGCCACGTTGTGGCAAACTATTTTTTCGGGTAAGGTTTTTGCTTATAAAAAGTATTATTTAGATCTCTCAAATCTACATTGGCTAGAGGTATAGGGGGAGGGTTGAGATCTCACAAAACATGTTTAACCCCGCCGCATTTTTGCGCCTGTCCCAAGTCAGGAGCCTCTGGCCTTTGTTAGTCTTGTATGTTTTTTAATTTAAGTTCATTTATATGTTTTGGAGTTTAGTGTGACGTCCATTTTCACTGCACTAGTACACAATTTTATTTAGGGGCCAGCTGAGGACCACCTCCGGATGCGGGATTTTCTCGCTGCGTTGAAGACCCATTGGTGGACTTCGGTTGTTGTCTGCTCTTTGGTCGGGTTGTTGTCTCTTTGAAATATTCCCCATTTCCATTCTCAATTTTATTTGAGGAACTGTAACATCTCTTCTTAAATCCTAGAAATTTAATGACTTGACAAAATATGAAATTAGTTATCAAAGGTACCAGGATTATAATTTAATACGCCAGACGCGCGTTTCATCTTCATAAGACTCATCAGTGACGCTCAGATCTAAATAAAGCCAAACAAGTACAAAGTTGGGGACCCAAAATTCCAAAAAGTTGTGCCAAATACGGCTAAGGTAATCTATTCCTGGGATAAGAAAATCCTTAGTTTTACGAAATTTACTAAAATGACCATATAATTGATATTAGTATCGATGTATATTATTATTGCTATCTAACTTACAAATATCGTGCAAAAAGTAATACCGAGACTGTTTACTTTTGAAAACATACTTAATTCTCGAATTGGGGTGGGGTAAAATGATCTTACAATCTTCTTTGTTATGAAAAAAACAAACAAAAATCATCTCGAGTTATACATGGAAAATACATATCAACTGATGTCGGAAAAAATTTAAAATTGTTTTCTATTTATTAATGTTATTCTTGTTAAAATAACATTACGGTACCAATTTTCGACACCAGATGCGAATTTCGATAATCAATCTCTCCTCAGTAATGCTCAAGGCCAAAATATTAGAAAATCCAACGATTATTCAAAAGATGAAGAGCTGTAATCCAAAAAGGTAAAAAAAAAGTATAGCCGCAGCCGGGCAAGGAATCAGAGCTTTGCATGAGGGAGATATATTCCTTAATATAAAATAGTTTCTAAAATTTTGTAACAGCAAACTTCAATAACAAAAAATCTGTATTTTCATGCCAATACCGGAATACTGTCTACTGGGGACAAACAAATATTTTGTTCATCAATTAAATCAGTTAATGTATTTATTTGATTATTTATTTATGTATTGATTTTTTATCTATTCAATCATTCATTCATTTGTTTATGTAATACGATAAGACATCGATGTAAACAACATACAACTCTTAAGCCTATATGAAATATTTGTTCTGATATAAGTACACTCATCATAAGTACCAGGATTTAAATTTTGGACACCTGACGCGTTTTTAGTCAAGGAAAGAATAATCAGTGACAATCGAATTAATAAAGTTAAAACGGCTAAATAAAGTACATGTACGATGTAAGAGAGTATTGAGGACCCAAGAGAGAATTTTGTTTATCAGCTCATAGACATAATTTTATCATGTGACCGTGACGTCAGCAACGTTTTGCTCATGATTTACTCAAAAAAATGGAATTTATAACTAAATTATAAGGAATGATTGTAATATTTTTTTTCTGTTTATTCGAAATAACATTAAAAATCAGGCAGGAATTGTACACGTGAAATCGCCAACAAGACCGGACGGAAGGACCCACGGACCCACGGACGGATGGACGGACGCCTAGTATTTCTATGTGCCCTGCAACGCATCGCGCGGAGGACAAAAAGCGTACAGGTCTGGTTTAGACTTGTCATCAGAACCAGTCAAAGGTAGACCTATCCTGAGGTCAAGTCTATAGCAGACCTGTCCATAGGTCTTGTCAATAGCAGACCTGTCTATAGGTCATGTCTATAGCAGAATTGTCCGTAGGTCTTGTCTATTGCAGACCTGTCCATAGGTCATATCTATAGGAGACCTGTTCATATGTCTTGTCTATAGGAGACCTGTCCATAGGTCTTGTCTATAACTCTATAGCATTTCTCCATAGACAGAAAAAATATCACAGTCATACCTACTCTTTATTCGTTACTTATCCCTTATTCCTTATCCGTCACTTATTCCTTATTCCTTATTCCTTATTTCATAATTGTTTTACTTTTATGACATTCTTCACTTCGATCATTCTTTTCTTAACTTTAACGACTTTTTGAGGTACCTTGAAATGATGCAAGTGTGCAAATCACAAATTAACCTGTTTCTATGCGAAATCAATCTGTGAAACAAGTTTACCATTTTAACGATAGAATATCGGGTTTTCACAACTAGTCATTCTTTTCCTTTTTTCAGTAAGTTCTAAGTTCTTCGATGCAAATCTATTGTGTTAGCGCGTATGTAACCGTATCTGCGCTGGACCGATACCTGTTACGTATTCGCTTCTTATTCGTGCCTTATTTTTATTTATATGCTTTTTATATGTTACCCCTTTTTAAAGATTTCTTTTTTCTTCCTTTTTCTTCTCTTTGATGTTAGTCCAAGATGGTTTTCAAATATACTTAATTAAAGGTGGATCATCACTATAATTTTCCTCAAATTAGTTTTCTTTGCCATGGAAATTTTGCAAAGATTATTCAAGAAAAAAATTATTTCTGAATAAAAAGAAATCTATGAAAAAGAATTTTACAATAATATATGAGAAGATAGATTTTATAATGTGCTTTAAGAAAATAAAAAAAAATGGTGTCACCGAATTTGTTTTCTTGATACAAGTAAAATCTGAAAATTTCACTATCTTTCAAGCATAAAAAAATCGCATAAGAGTTATATCCCCTTACATGACTAAGTTGAAAATTTGAATCGAACAAAACCAAATATTTAGTATTTTTTAAAACAAAATAATGCAATAAATCACTCATTTTCCTTATTTAACGAACATTCTTACACATTAATTGCCAATCTGTCTAAACATTTACAGATTTGGGCAAAGAACTAGACCGATTGCGTACTGCTACTTTAAAATCCAAGATGGTGGCATAAATGTATATACCTTATAGAACTTCATCAAGAGTTGTTGAACAGAGAAGAAAAATGCCCATTACTGTCTTTATATGATCTAGCCATTTTCATTCTGTACTTTAAATACCTCCTGACAAAGTAATTAGTTGCATGATTTTGGTACTACTGCCTTATATTTCTAGCGATCACAGACAGGACGTGATACTAGAAATTACTCGGCAATGACGATACGATAATTGCAGAAAAGTCAGTTTTTGTAAGTCAATCAGATCAATTAAAAGCGCGCAACCTCATTCATACAACAGAACAACTTTTGCAAAGTTTTGTACGCATGAAAGATTTTTTTTTCAATATTTCGTGTAATTTCAAATTCTTCCGCAAGAAGCATATAGTTAAATCAAATTGCCGAAAAAGAATAATGGCATATCATTTGTGTTACTGACTTTACTCGTTCAAATAAATTGCTTTATATTCTTTATGATGAACTCATTACGAAAACGCAAATGCCCTATTCTATATAAATTGAGCTAAAATGAAAAAGGAATGATTATGTATTCCATGTTCCTACTTTAGAGGTTTGTTCGCTTAATTTTAGCTATTTTTTTTTTGTGTTTCATATTTTTAACAACACTTGTAAATATTTGATATTATTCCTTACCAAAATTTTACCTTTAATCGTTTACCATTGTAAGGGGATATTAATGCAAAAATTGCTGCATGTAGCCTCCAAATAAACGTAAAATAGCTTTTATATTACCTAGCGCTATGCCTGCAATCAAAACGCTATTTCCATTATTAATTCTGTAATGATAAATGAAAATTATCTATTGGTAAGTGCAAGTAAATTACTAAACCTGTCATAACGCTATTCTTTTGATATTCAGCAGGAATTCAAATATGGATAAAATAAAATGAGAAGTGGTATATGTGTCTAATAAACAGTTAAAAAGTAACTTTTTTATAAAACAAAAAGTACAAATATAAAAGTGAATTTACATATATTGTTCTAAAATGGCTATCAGGCATTTTTCATTGTTAGATTTTCTAATTATCTCCATTAATATCTTCATAGATGACACTACATTGTAATATATTTGTCCTTACTTTCCGTTTTAGGGATGACTGTTGTTGTTCAAATACAACACTGACTATATCCAAACGGGAAGTAATGTTTCGGACTTTGGAATAAACTATGCATCGGGTATTTTTTTTTTTTTTTTTTGGCATTTGCTTTTTGCACCTATACAAAGGTTCGCTCTGAACACAAATTTTGACTGCTTTCAAAGATAACTTAATATATTTGATGCAGATCCAGACAAACAAATTAATTTAATCTGTGGTAAAGTCTGGTTTTTAGGTCTGCTCCGGCTCTTTTGACAAGTCCGCTTTTGTTGTCGTTTTGGTGTTGTGTTTGACGTTGCCATTAAAGCGGGAGGTTTGACAAGCCGCAAAACCAGGTTCAACCCACCATTTTTTTTCTTAAAATGACTTGTACCAAGTCAGGAAAATGGCCATTGTTATATTATAGTTCGTTTCTGTGTGTGTTACATTTTTAATGTTGTGTTTTTGTTGTGTCGTTGTTCTCCTCTTATATTTGATGCATTTTCCTCAATTTTAATTTGTAACCCGGATTTGTTTTTATCTCTATCGATTTATGAGTTTCGGACAGCGGTATACTACTGTTGCCTTTATTTGAGCAGACGTATGCATATGTCTGATGTTGACCAGTCCTAAGGACAAGTATTATAAAGTATTATTGGACAGGTCGGTTAACGACAAGTCCCATGGACAGGTCTGCTATAGATCAGACCAATAGACAGGTATGCTATAGACATGACATATGGACAGGTCTGCTATCGAACAGACCTATGGACAGGTCTGCTATCGACAAGACCTATGGAATGGTCTGCTATAGACAAGACCTATGGACAGGTCTGCTATAGACATGACCTATGGACAGGTCTACTATAGACAAGACCAATGGACAGGTCTGCTATAGATAAGACATATGGACAGGTCTGCTATAGACAAGACCTATGAACAGGTCTGCTATAGACAAGACCTATGGACATGTCTGCTATAGACAAGACCTATGGACAATTCTGCTATAGACAAGACCTATGGACAGGTCTGCTATAGACAAGACCTATGGACAGGTCTGCTATTGACATGACCTATGGACATGTCTGCTATAGACAAGACCTACGGACAATTCTGCTATAGAGAAGACCTATAGACAGGTCTGCTATAGACAAGACCTATGGACAGGTCTGCTATAGACTTGACCTCAGGATAGGTCTACCTTTGACTGGTCCTGATGACAAGTCTAAACCAGACCTTAACGCTTTTTGTCTCCCGCGCGATGCGTTGCAGGGCACATAGAAATACCAGGCGTCCGTCCATCCGTCCGTGTGTCCCTGGGTCCTTCCGTCCGGTCTTGTTGGCGCTATCACGTGTACAATTCCTGCCTGATTTTTAGAAAACTTGTATTATAGTTTTATCTCGGCAATGCCTCGTACAAGTTCGAAAATCAGTGCTTATTAATTATTTTTAAAAGAGTGCCCCTTGGAAATATTGATTATATGAAAATTGCATTGTAAGCGCTCTCATGTGTACCATTTTTGCCTGATTTTTATCAAATTCATATCAAAGTTTTATATGAGCAATGTCTCGGACAAGTTACAAAATCTGTGCCGATCAAATAATTTTAAAAGAGTTATGCCTATTAGAAATATTGATTATGTTGGGAATTGAGTTCTATTTGATATCAAGCCACCATTTTTATAAGATATTTTTAAAAAGGTTTTTGAGTTATTGCCCTTGGATAGATAAAATATGTGCAACGTTGGGATCATTGGATCTCTGTTCTTTTATTAGATTAACTTGACAATGGTTTATAGGTCCGTTCGGAGTAGGCAAAAAACTGTTGCAAATATAATTTTGATCGCTCAAAATGTGTAGTCATCAAGTTAACTTGCTGAATAGGTTCTCACCCCGCTCATCTGTGATAATTTTTAAAAGAAATCAGTACTGTTTCCATTCGCTATTTGGAAACTTTTAAGAATCCCTTTTATGCTTCTTGTGAAAGAACAGAAATACATTTTTGACTGATTCCCAACAAAGGATTAAGAAGACGATGTATACAAAGAACCAATTTAGTTTCTAAGTATAGTCAGAAAAATTCCTTGCAAACAATATGTAATGACCTAGTTCAAATTGTATATGTTAAAAATTAATATGTAACAAAAATGAAAATGTTTTGCAATATATTTCAATTTAATAGGAGCTCCAGGTTTCCAGTTCTGTATATCAGAGACATATATTCTGCGTAGCTGTGAAGAAAATCATATAAAGATAATTCAAGTTTTAGTCCGTCAGATAAAAACCAAACAAAATATTGCATTTTGATTTATCATAACACCATAAATTTCTCGGACAGAAAAAATATTCCAACAGCATTAAATTTTAACAATTTTTTATTTTTCTATTGGCTTGAAAGATAACTTGTTGACCATTTTTAGAGATAAAAATTTAATCAAAATGTTGTTTAACTGGTTTATTATAAATAAGTATTATTCAACATGCTCTTGTAATAATTACATGAGTGAATTGTTTGGAGAATTAGAACAAACAAGTAAAACGAGTCCATAATTAACTTACGTGTGTTACAATAATATCCCTTCCATCCAGGACAGCAGTAACTTTCATATGTATAGTAAACTCTCCAAACATTTCTACGCCCGCAACACCTTTAATAAATTTAAAAACAAAATATTTCATTACATGGTATAAATCCTAATGCATATTTTTTTTGTTTTGTTTGTTTATATATTTTAGAAAGGAAGGAAGATGGAATGCTCCTGTGCTATTTATTGGAACTTGAACTATAATTAGGCGTCAGCTCTGACACATTACAAGGTAAAATATATGATTGGAACAGATTGTTTTTTTAATGAAAGAAGAATTTTAAGATGAATGATAAAGATATTGTATGAATCGGACCCCTACACCACTTTTAAAAATCTTTAAATCGTAGTAATTATAGTTTTTTTGTTACCTTTTAAGAGAAAAAATCAACTTATACACTTGATAACTTTAGTTCAAAACTATAATTTGTACAAACAACACAAAAAATGTTGCTTGTACAATTCCAGTGTTCACAAATTGATCTCTCCCTGCGAAAGGTACACTGAACATTTAAAGCCAAAAACATACGACAATTTCAATTTCAACTTAAATGATCTATAGCTATTTAGGGTAAAATTTTGTATTGATACCCATAAGTCAAGCAAACTTTGTTGAATCAGCATGCTCAACTTCGAGGTAGACTTTCAAGTGAATCTCTATTTCAAGTTAACAAAATTCAAATTGTTTTTATAAGTTGGCTGATAACATTTTATAGAACAGTTAAACCTTACTTTGTCACCTTAGTTCAACACAAGGGTTTTCGATGTTCAATCTTTAGTTTTCTGTGTAGTGGATTGTAAACGAGAGGCGAAAGGTACCAAAGGGACATTCAAACTCATAAGTCGAAAATAAATTGACAACGCCATGGCTAGAAAAGGAAACGATTAACAGACAAGCAACAGTACCCAAAACATAGCATAGAAAGCTATAGACTGAGCAACACGAACCATACAAAAACTTGGGAAGGTTAAGCAGATACTGCTCCACATGTGGCACCCGTCGTGTTGATCATGTAAGTCCAACCCAAGTGTTAAGTCGAATTAGGGAGGTAACATTCGGGGAAAAGGGGATGGGATTGTATTTACGACAATTGTTACATATTCGTCGTCATCTTTGAAACAGATATTCATAACGGTCAACCAACTCGTGAAGGCGTCCGTAAAATTTACGAAGAGATGATTTCAACTTCGCCACTTGGAACTCTTTGTTTACTAGCTACATTGTGAGCAGCAACCCTTTATCAAGGAAATCATGATAGGAAATACAAGCTCTGGAATATCGTATCAACTGTGAGATGTATACTCTGTATGCAGCGCTGCTGAAATGTTGCTACATAGAAATGGAAAGTTCACAATTGGGAAGCTGAAATCATCTCTTTTGTCGTAAAGTTTTGTTTTCAACTGACCCTCATTGTCAATTTCTAGATGTAAGTCAGGAAATGATACAGACTTAACTGTATATGTGGTTTTCTTTATGGTGTTGTCTTTTCTATTAATATTTTTGACTTCGCCATTGGTATATCTTCTTTCATTTTTTTATGAAACATGATATAATTATAATTGTGTAAACAATATGTATAGTTCTAAAAGTTAACGGTAGTATTTTTCTGAGCTACAGGGCTAATTGTTTTTCTTTTTATATTTTCCGCCACTTACTAATAAAAACTAGCAACATTGTTTTTAATTTTCAGTTTACATTATTCTTCAATTTTGATTTGACCTTCCAATTGTTTGAATCGATTGCCGCTGATGAGCCCTAAGTTGACGAAACGCGCTTATAAGATAAACCCAGCACTACTACAACAACCTGTACTTTCATTTTAATATTTGAAAAAGACGTAAATATGCATGCTGACCGTCATCATAATGGCTACAAAAACTTTGGATTTTTTTTTAAAGCAGTGAATAAAAAAGTTAAAATCTCAAAAGTGTAGTTTCACTTAAATGAAATAATGTGATATATTATTCTACTACTGCTGTATCCTTAAACTTGGAAAGATATGTATGTTTAGAAATAAATAACAATTATTAAGGGTTGCCTGTTCTGATTATTGTCCCCGTATTTCTCAAAAATCAGATTAAATAGATAATATTGCAACCTTACAGATTGAAAAACGCTAAAGATAATGTAATATATGAAAATAAAACAATAGACATTGCAATTAATATTGGACAGACCACAACAACTCCGAACACCTCAGACAATAGACGTACCAAAAAAAGACATACAAAACATGGACCAGAAAGCCTGAACCAACACAAAATCTTGTGTGATCATACAAGCTTTCCCTTAGCCTATAGATGCCATAGATTATAAACTAAAAACACCAAATAAAAGTATGCACACTTTTGCTTTCGAAGAGAGCTGAAATGTACTTTAGGCGTGTTTCTTCAAAGAAAAATTTTATTGTAATAAAATTGAGAATGGGGAATGTGTCAAAGAGACAACAACTCGACCAAAGAGCAGAAAACAGCCGAAGGCCACCAATGGGTCTTCAACACAGCGAGAAAATCCCGCACCCGGAGGCGTGCTTCAGCTGGCCCCTTAACTAAAATGTATACTAGTTCAATGATAATGGACGTCATACTAAACTCCAAAACATATAAATGAACTAAAATTAAAAATCATACAAACCTAACAAAGGCCAGAGGCTCCTAATTTGGGACAGGCGCAAAAATGCGGCGGGATTAAACATGTTTTCGTAGGCAATCTTATTACTTTATTTTCCATTTCAACAAAACCGCTAACAGCTAGTTTATCAACTCAAACTTAAGCGTATTTGCATCATTTTAAATATCATTTGGATTCATCTGTCTACTTGAAAGTCAGACAATGCACTATAATCGATTTAAAAGGAATTTCAACGAACAAAATGTATTCGAGATAAACAAATGTGAATATGAAACATACGTTGTTTTTTTAAAGATAAAATATCACAATTTAATTTTCAGAGAAGAAAAATAAAGAGATGAGGAATGGTTTCCAGTGAAACAGCCATCCCCTTTGAAAGCAGACTTGTTCCTGTACTGTTATGAATCACAGTTTATGGCCAAACTCCCGTCTAAATTCCATTTAATTGATACATTCAACAACACTTATCGTTAACTTCATGATATTTTTTCGTTAAATAATCATGAATTCCCTAAATATACTGCCGCAAATTTACCTAAAGGTTTACCCAAAGGAACTTACCTTTAATACATCAAATGTTTACAGCAATAACAATCCTTTCCAAGATTTAAATATTTCAGTTTTACACGAGACTCTCTACGAAAAAAATTACGACAAAAGGGACGGTTTTTCTTTCCTTATTATCAATTTTCCTTTTTTGGACAGTGATGTTCCTTTGTCACCGTCTTACGGTATTTATATATCACAACTCGTTCGCTATGCCCGTGTCTGTAGTGACGTCTATGTATTACTAGTAAAAGTCAGGAATTTCGGTACCACAAATTACTTACAACCTTTACTTAATTCTTCCAAAGATACAACTACTAGTATTTGGTTTGGAAATTTGGCTGAACCTGTATTATTTTTCAAACGGAGTAGCACATCCTAATTTTTACGGTAATGTTGTTTACCGAGCCCGGAAATTTAGATACGATCTGGCTATTTATCAATCCTTAAAATAAACTTATTCTAAGAAGTTACCAATTCAAAATTGTAATTAGATCTTTGAATATTGCCGGTTTTTATTGGTATAAATATTGATTTTGTGTTATCAGTAAATTAAAACCATACTAAATACCATTGTTATACACAATTCACGGTACTACAATATGTCGATACCTATATTTTGGCATTGCACAAAGTAATATTTTTCTCTGATGTCTTTTCACTAAATCCATGGGATGTTGGATGCGTACTGATTGATATTTTAGTCTTATTACATGATTTTTTTGTATGTTGTTATTGGCTTTGAACTAGATGTAGCAACCAGTACTCTAAGATCTGTACTTTGTGTCTTTTTGGTATTGACGGATGTATAAATGATCATAAATACTCTATCACGCCCAGTCTGTGTCTTTGCTAGATGTGTTTCTGCTTGTATCGATCTGATGAGTTAAGCCCTTTTCAAGTGATTTGTATCGTTTGTTCTTATGTTATACTGTTACACCATTGTCCCATATTAGGGGAGAGTTGACGCCTTAAAACATGTGTAACCCCGCCACATTATATATGCGTCAGTCCCAAGTCAAGAGCCTGTAATTGAGTGGTTGTCGTTTTCTGCTGTTTCTCATATTTTTTTTTTTTTTTTTTTTTTTTTTTTTCTTTATTGTTTTGCATAGTTTGTTCTTGTGTGGTGCCGTCCCACCACTGTCATTGGTTAGAGTAAGAGTTGGCGTCTTCAAACATGTTTAACCCCGCCACATTCTTTATGTGTCTTTCTCAAATCAGGAGCCGGTAGTTCAGTGGTTATCGTTGGTTTATGTCTGTCATATTTGTATTTTGTTAATTGTTTTTTTTTTAATGAAGTCATTAGTTTTCACATACTAGTATCTGGGCATTTTATAGCCGACTACACGGTATGATATTTTTTTTCTCATTGTTGATGGCCGTACGGTTGCCTATAGTTGCTTACATCCACTTCATTTGAATGTTGGTGGATAGTTGTTCCATTGACAATCATACCACATCTCCTCATTTTATATTGGCACAGGCTTTTTCCGAAGAAAATGATAGGCTAAACCTGGTTTTGTAGCTAGCTAAACCTCTCACTCGTATGACAGTTGTTTATAGTTCCATTATATTAAAAAATATGGGTGAACAACCAAAATAGACATGAAAGATTAATGGGACAATAATTGGGATCCAGCTGCCAAAACTGTGTAAATAATATTTATAACAGACATACAACACAACTGACTTTTCAAGAGAGACTTTAAATATTAGCCAGATCCATCTAAGGTCAACTTTTCCTTTGAAATTGTATTTCGCTAACTTTACGTTTTAATGATTGTAATAGAAAAGAAAAGATATGGGTATCCATCCATGACAACAAATCAGTATATGGCACAGTAAATCAACAGATAAAACAAAGGAACAGCGCTTTTATTACAGTTCTTCATTTAGATCTTAAAGTCACAGTGAGGCCTTCATCACAGGACAAACAAACTCTCATCTTATTGCAAGTTTAAGACTGCTGAATTATTTGCAATTCTTATCTATATTGATAAATCTTTTAGTAAAAACTTTTTCACAAAATATACAGAAAAAAATTGATTATTTCAAACAATTCAAACTATTTTAAAACAACATTTGATTTGTTATGATACTGTATATGTTTTTATAGGGAAAAAATCCAGTTCCAAAATTCAGTACAAAAAAAATCAATTGTAGTGTAAGGATCAAATGTGTCTATAACTTCTTCACTATATTGGAATATTGCAGCTTTAAGGAAATCAATATTCAATATAAATTTCTCAGTACAAGATTTTCATTCCAAAACGAGTCAAACTTTTAAATTACATAGATTTGCATTTATTTCAAATGAAAACAATAAAAAATTTGAAATCGATATTCATATTTACCCTTGTCTATATCCTTAAAACAAACTGCCGATAATAAACTGTATTTGTGAGTAAAGTCAATAAGAATGATTAAAATCTGTGTTAAAGACTGACATAAATTAGTATGGTAGGTCTCGTTCGTCTTTGAGAATAATTTATAGTACATACCACCACCAACAACTATGAGTGCACACGCTTACTGTATACCATACGGCTTTCCGTCTTGAACAGGTACCACTGAAATCAAAGTAAGGAAATATCTAATATACGAATGAGTATGATTTTGACATTTTGACTAGACAGCTTTCTCTAACTCAAAAGCAAAATAGCAAGGATTTTTATGTTGGTCCGATTTGATGATTTTAATCAAATGTATGATATGTTTTTCGTGCGCACAAGACGTGTTGTGTTTTTGGAATATATTTTGACTTGATACAGCACATTTGAATATTTAAGAGTGCCAAAATTCCTCAAACGTTCATAACTCTGTTTTAAATAAAACAATCATAATCGTCTTCGGTCATTTTCCCTAAAGGAGTTGCGACTTAAGTTGTCTAACAAAAACAAAACAATCATATTCGTCTTAGGACAACTTTTCCTAATAAAATTGAGAATGGAAATGGGAAATGTGTCAAAGAGACAACAACCCTACCAAAGAGCAGAAAACATCCGAAGGCCACCAATGGGTCTTCAACACAGCGAGAAAATCCCACACCCGGAGGCGTGCTTCAGCTGGCCCCTAAACAAAAATGTTTAAGCAAACAATTTTGGAAGTTCGATGCCATACAGTGTTAATTGAAATAGAAAAATCAATACCGTAACAATTATCAATCAAAGTACTAAAGTACTGAACATCGGATGACCGCAAGTTCTTGTAGATGGTCACATGCACTTGTCGCAGAAAAAAATCAAACTCTATACCTGAAAGTTAGGTTTAGGTACATAGATATATTTTTTTCCGATGCAAGTTCCTGTGTGGATGATGAATAAATGACAGGGAATTTAATAATAATTATTATATTGTAGTGATATAATCATTTGTTATCAGTATAATCTGGTTTGTTATTATATGTTATATTAATATTTGTATAACAGTTATATATATATAGCAGATCATCTTAATAACTGGAACGGGGACCCAATTATTTCCCCCATTGAAACGCATTGAAAATCATAGTAAATAAATGGGGTGCTGTCCAATAAATAATTTTGATAGCCACCTTGGGACTTCTGTTTCACGTTAGGCATTTGTTTCGAAGTTTCTGAGTGCAATCTCAGTGCCTCATGACCGGCATTCCGTTGCACAATTTTGTTTTGATTGACAACAGGGTAGGTCGGTCTACTTCCGGGGAAGAATAAAGGCTAGAATTTAGGCAATTTACTCTATGTACCGACGCCAGATTACATTTAAATCAATCAAAATTTTTACAGAAATTCAAGCTAGAAAGCCTACCCATTCAAATAAATCTACATTCAGTTACAGAACTTGTGTAATAATAAAACTACACAATTTTAAATAAAAGTTATATATATTTTTTTAAGAACTACATTCGTGTGTACCGGACTGGTTGCCGTAACTGGGATCCTATTCCAACTCTACAGGCTTTTCATCCTTGTTGCAAAACGTCCTCTAGATATTCTTCCGCATGCGTTAACACAAATTTTCGGTATTCATGATTTGTTACTGATAAATATATTTCTCACGACAAAACATTTTCATATCATTTATCTATGTTCTTAATGAATATTTTCATGAATATTTATTGATGAAATTAATATATAACAAGCGATAAGGAATGTTATTTTGCACTCGATAATGTCCGCGTTTTTATACGATTTTAACGAATTGATGGGTGCTTAAAAACGCAAGGGTCATCCGCTGTAAAAAGAAATGACCGTAACATAATGCTATTATAAAGTATCCCAATCTAAAACCTCTATTTATTACTCAAATCATCTTGATATGACAAGCAAGAAAGGGTATGCTCTCAACCATTTATAAGATATTCAAACATTTTTAAATGGAAGCTGGGGGGTGATGACAACTTGGGACTTGCCCTTTATTTCACTGTATTCTTCTGTACGTGGCAAACAATATTATATGGTTGAGGGGTGGGGATCGTGTTATGGGGTTCAGATCTCATGAATTTTGAAGATGTTTGAACATTTTCAAATTTTCAAATTGCAGGGATGCTGATGACCTCCGGCGACTACTCGCAATCAAATTCTATTTAATCAACATTAAAGGGTAGTAAATAAAATTTGAAATATGCTTTCAACTTCAGAAATTTTAAGATTTAATGATTTATAACTGTGATGGATGAATGTAAAAATTTAGAAGGAAAACACTGAGTTCATTCTATATTTTTATAGCGGTTGCTTAATCTCCTTGGGTATCTGTCAAGTGCAAAACGGAACGAAATAACACGAAACAAAACGAAATTTGCCAAAGTTAACAAAACAACATATGATGAAACGAGACGAAAAGAACATTTTAAAAAGTTATTTTAAAATAAAACAAGAGGCAGACGGATCTATGCGGAGAAACAAATATATATGTTTCTCAAAAGCGTATAATTATTATTTACATACATTAGTAGTAATAAAAAGAACGAAACGATTTTTTTTTTCATTTTAATCCAAAAAAAATTATTTTAAAGAAGAGTCTTATATATAATTTTAAATATAAACTCTGTCCCACGATCCTTCTTCGTTGTCTTTCGTGAAAATTTGTTTTTAACAACAAATATGTCCCAACATTTTACTGTGCTTTAATTTCTGCCAAGTTGTTCAAATTTCTTCCCTTTAACTGTATATTTATTTCTGGAATTCTATTTTTATTATTTGTATTCAGAATTTGTAGATTTTTTGGACATCACACCAATACAAAATGTCGGTTTTGCATTTATATAGAAATAGACACAATGTCTGAACTTAATCAAAATTGCATAAATAAAACTGGAGACAGTGCAGGCGGTGTTGTCTCGATATCCCAATAGCATGAGTTCGAATCCTGCAGAGGGAAGAACAAAAATTTGCTGCTGCAAATTTGCAGATTTAACATTGTTGTGCTGATATTTAGAGTAATTATGGATATAATATGTGTTTTCAGCCGTGTATCACCTTCACTGGTGATCCAATGGATGGATCCGTCGTAGAATTGTCACTTGTTTAGACGTACTTATCAAAATAATTATTTCTGTGACTGTATCGTACCATCCTTTATGATAGATATTAGCTAATCTGCAATCAATTCCATCTTCATGCCTAATATATCATGTTCTGTGTTACAACTCTAGATTCTACTGACGAGGAAAGGTAATACTAGGCCACCGAAAGCTGAATTATTAGTTCAGTCTAGGTGGTTGTGTGGTCTAGAGCGCTGGACACAGTGCCGGCGGTGTTGTCTCAATATCCCTATAGCATGAGTTCGAATCCCGGCGAGGGAAGAACAAAAATTTGAAGATTTAACATTGTTGTGCTGATATTTAGAGTAATTGTGAATATAATATATGTTTCAGCCGTGTATCACCTTCACTTGTGATCCAATGGATGGATACATCGTTGAGTTGTCACTTGTTTAGACGTACTTATATATATTTATAACATTTGATAAAACAAAATTAAATATCTCTTACAGAAGCTAAGCGATTCAACTTTGTGGATTTTTTCATAATTAAACAGCGATTTTCGAAATTTATTGGTTGTTATTGACCAAAGAAAATTCTAGACTGTATGGTGTCCTCCCGTTTCATTATTGATTTTCTACAACACTTTCGCCCCCACATTTTGCTAATATAGCAGCGCCCGGCATATAGGAGTACCAGTGAAAACTGACCGACTTGCAGTAAGCCGAAAAATTTGGTAGGATGGAGTGACATGTCTTTCGAACACTACAAAATTGTGAACTTCTATGTGGAAAAAAATGACACAATGTGTCGTTCTAATACAAATCAAGTGCATATTCATATCACTTTACTTGGTTTCCTTTATAAGTATGGAAATATTTGCTACTGGACGTTAAACAATAATCAACCAAGTGGTATTCCCATGACGATCATATATTTTCTTTTATAGATTGCACGACGATCATGTATTGCCTTTTATTATTGATTGATTTAAAGTTTTAAGTATTAGTACGGGCGGTGAAATACTGAATCAATATGGAAGGTTATGGATTCGATTCCAGTCGGATCAAATCAAACTTTTTGATATTGGTATCTGCTTTTGACTACTTTTCCGATATACATGCAGCATTTAAGGGTAAGACCAAAGATGTCAAGTGATGATATAGTTTCGATAATGAAATGTGTTTTGTGTTGTCAGTATGTTTGTGTGTGCGTTGTCTTATCACTCCTCTTGAATAGGGCTTATATATTCTTAGCCTGATGCCAAATCCAATTTAATGTATTTTGAAGAAAAATAAACAATGTTTACACTAAATCTTGATAAAACCCGAAATTTCATCCTTTTTTAATCTGATATCATCGTTGAATACTTAGTATATGTACAATGTACTGAGTCGATATGACAAAACGTAATGGTAAACTACTTGGGTTGTTTTTTGTCATATTAATTGTTTTTCGTTTATTGTTTTAACATAAACTTCAGGCCTTTGGGTTTTCTCATTTTATCCTGTCGTGTCAGCTCATTTATTACATGCGTTTCGCTATGAGTTTATTGTCCTACGATAAGTCACTAGGTGCAAATAACAAATACTGAGCTCTATAGATATAAGAAGATGTGGTATGAGTGCCAATGAGTCAACTCTCCATCCAAGTCACAATTTGTAAAAGTAAACCATTATAGGTCAAAGTACGGCCTTCAATACGGAAACTTGGCTCACACCGAACAGCAAGCTATAAAGGGCCCCAAAAATGATTAGTGTAAAACCATTCAAACAGGAAAACCAGCGGTCTAATCTATATAAAAAAAAAGGAGAAACGAGAAACACTTATGAACCACATCAACAAACGACAACCACTGAACATCAGGTTCCTGACTTAGGACAGGTGCAAACAAATGCAGCGGGTTTAAACGTTTTAATAGGCGCCAACCTTTACCCTACCTGAAACAATAGTGTAACATCACAACATAGAGAGACACATTATAAAATACCAATTGAAATGGCTTAACTCAATCAAAAGACATATTAACAAAAATAAGTGAACATACACTGAAAGAATAAATTTGATCTATGACACAATGTAAATACAAAATTAATAAAACAAGGGGGTTAGATGTAAAACAATATCAGAAAGACGACCATAACCTTGGACAAAATGCCGCCAAATAAAATAACGTACACAAGTAAATAAAATTAATTTTGTTGTAAGGTATACTTCTTGTCTCCGTATATGCCTCCTTTAATTAGGAGCACCACCATGAGTTATGGCGTATAAAGGAGGACATTTGGAGTCTGTATCGTACAGGTTAATGTGAGCATGAAGTACGGAAATAATTTTTACAAAAGAAATATTTTTTGTTCCTAGTACGAGAACAAAAGTGAAAATTTATCGTCATACTAAACACTTATCAAAGGTGGTATATATTAAAAATAGTGAGACGAGATATAACACTAAATAAGTAAACATTAAATAACAAAAATACATTACAAATTGTATCAACAAGTCAAATCAACACAAAAGTACGATTTGAGAGTACTCGCAGTTACTGAGAGCTAGTTAAAAGTCAAAAACAATTGATAATAAAAAAAATCATGCATCAGAGACTAAAATCAACTAAAACACATCCCAGGGATTTAGTGTATTAACGTCATGGACAGTCAAAGAAGACATGACTTGTGCAATGCCAAAATAAAAGTATCGACAGGCAGTAGGATAGTTAGGAGTTAACCTGCTAATAAATATGTATAATGAAATATATAGATAGAGTCATCTCTATATAGAAAATGAACGTGGATTTGTATTTCTTGGGTATTTCTAATGTAGTATTATATAGAAATATTTACTTCTGAGTTTGAATGTCCCTTTGGTATGTTTCGCCTCTCTTTCAACAGCGTATACATCGTACAAAACATTTAATTTTGGTATCTTTTTTGGAGAATATGTGACTTTTGTGAATATTTGGGACAAAGTCATCGACTACAAGTTCAAAAATGTTAAAATTAAAGTAATGAAAGTTATGTTTCAAATTGGCTTACCCATAAGAAACGTAACATAAAGATGAAAAGAATAAAATTCCTATAAACCAGCTGCTTATCTGTGCCATATCAAATTACTGAATGAAGACAGGGAAGACAGTCGTCAAGTTTATACTTATTGCCAATTAAAACACTTAAAAGAGGGAAGTTCCTAAGATGGTCATTCAAATGTACCTAAAGTTACAGTAAAAACTATTTACTGTAAAAACTGAAAATATATTGCTGCACATATATTCTACAAGACAAAGGAAAGCTACTCTTTATACCTCAGGAATAACAACATCTATCACACAGCACTGCTGCTCTTTAAAATATCATATGATAGACATACAGTGAAGTTACAAAATGCTAAGTTTCAGAGTAAGATGGAGGAAGATACAAAGTTCAAGTAGCCGGGAAGCTGCTTTAGTTTTATAAGATTCAGTACACATTATCAAGCAAAAACACCCCAAAGATCAAGCAACCGGGAAGCTGCTTTAGTTTTATAAACTTCCGTACACATTAACAAGCAAAAAAAACCCCAAGTTTTGCCAATACAGAAATAAAGTATATATAACATTGAGAATGGAAACGGGGAATGTGTCAAAGAGACAACAACCCGACCAAGAGCAGAAAACAGCACAAGGCCATCAATGGGTCTTCAACACAGCGAGAAAATCCCGCCCCGGTGTTTATCCTAATACCGTTATGGATCCCTATTACCGATATACTCCTGTCTGAATTAATGAAACTACAGTCTTTGTTATTTAATAGTGGACTAAGTTCGCTTGCATAGAAATAATAGAATGTTTTAAGGGTCTTTATCATTGTGTAATTTATGATGCACAAGACCAACAGAAAAGCAAAGGAACGGCCCCATTCATTATTTAAATAATACACATTGATCGTGTATTTGGGTGGTCCATGTATTCATTTATGATCTCTTAAATAACAATCATTGATCTTGTAGTTAGGTGGTTCGTGTATTCGTTTATGATCCGTTGAATAGTACAAATTGATCTTGTTTTTGCGTGTTTCATGTATTCATTTATGATCCTTTGAAAAGTACACATTGATCTTGTTTTTATAGGTGGTTTATTTTTTTCAAATTAATGGTCCTTTGAATAATACACACTGATCTTGTATTTAGGTGGTTCATTTATTCATTTATGATCCGTTGAAAAATACACATTGATCTTGTATTTAGGTGGTTCATTTTTTTATTAATGGTTCTTTGAATAAAACACATTGATCTTGTATTTGCGTGTTTCGTGTATTTACTAATGGTCCTTTGAAAAGTACACATTGATCTTTTGTATTTAGGTGGTTCATGTATTAATTTATGATCCGTTAAATAGTGCACATTTATCTTGTATTTTGGTGGTTCATTTTTTATTAATGGTCCTTTGAATAATACACATTGATCTTGTATTTAGGTGGTTAATTTTTTGTATTAATGGTCCTTTGAATAATACACTTTGATCTTGTATTAAGGTGGTTCATCTATTCATTTATGATCCTTGGGATAGGACACACTGATCTTGTATTTATGTGGTTCATGTATTCATTTATGATCTATGCAGCTAAACAGTTGTAAAATTTACTTGACCCTTTTCCCAGTCTATTTTATGCTTTTCAAAACATTCTCCCATTGTAATATTTGTCTTAATTGTTAAGCGAGCTGCTGTCTTCGAAATCGTCCATATTCATAATTTCATTGGTTGCAGATAATCAAATAAAAAAAATCGGTAGAAATCCTCCAAACCATTCTATACGGTGACAGAAAATTTTACAAGTTATCAAATAAACACGTAATGAAATGAATTTTCTAAAAGAAAATAAGTTTTATTTATCAATATTATAGTTTAATTTCTAGCAAAACTTCCTATAAAAAAACCACGCTTTAGCTCCTTAATATGCCAAAAATTCATCTTCATAACTGATAACGCCCAGTTTAAAGTCCTTTCTCTATTAAAAATCTACGAAATGGTTAGAGCTTTATAATTTTTTAGAAATTTTCCAAGAAAATAGTTGATTATATTTATTTAAAGAAATAAGAAATAACCGAAGACATTTCATTTATTGAAAGAAAAAAACCTGTCAAGGGAAGCTTTTTTCCAGCAATTTTATTTCCACTTTGCAAATTGCCAACAAAAATAAATAAATTTTAAATCTATTTTGAGATAAGTAGTTTATAAGTTTTGTTGATTAACTATCATATTAATTAATAATGTCCTATTTTTCGGTCAAAATATAGTTTTTGCGCAGTTTTATGGATTTAATAAAGGCAAAAGTAGTATACCGCTGTTCGAAACTCATAAATCGATAGAGATAAAAACAAATCCGGGTTACAAACTAAAACTGAGGGAAACGCATCAAATATAAGAGGAGAACAACGACACAACAAAAACACAACATTAAAATGTAACACACACAGAAACGAACTATAATTGTTTACAGTTGCTTTTAAAATTATGCAACCAAATAAAAATTTATCGGAAGTGTTATACAAGTACTATCATATGAGTACATACGTCTATTTATCTATTTAGTGCACACTTGGTAGTTCAACTTTTATTATCGTTTTCAGGCAAAGCCATATTCCGGCTCGTATATGGAACGAGGACTCAATTATTTCTTCCATGACTTCAATGTAATTTTTATCATAATTGGAGGACAGATTTTTTAATTCCTTCATTTGACTGCCAAATTTCATTTACTTTCTCTTACTAGTAGCCCCCTTCGTGGTTTCATGGAAAATTCTTGAAGGGTCATGACCGGCATTTAAGAGAAAAATACTGTTTTGAGTATTAACAGGGTCATTTTATTCTCTTCCTTGTTAAAATGGAAAATAAAATTTGGACCATTTACTCAGACAACCATCCACCCTATACATTTCAGAACCACATAAAATTAAACAGAAGTTGAAAATTTAATGAATATCCTTTGAATAAATCACAAATTTAAGCATTTTTATATAATTTTCATCTCGGTACAATATCCCATTTAAAAGATGGTAGATTTATTAAGGGACTTCATTTACCGGACTGGTATTAAGGGACTTCATTTACCGGACTGGTATCCTGTAACTGGGATCCTATTCCTATCAGACCAGATGATGTCTGTGGTTTTTTTTTGGTTTTTTTTTGCTGAAAGACATCTTTAAAATAAAAGGATTTATGCCTAAGTCTTTGATTTGTGCATTTTATAGCCAGAAACAAGAGGCCACCCCTTCCACCAAGAAGAGCATATTTTCAGCTATATTTGACAAAATAAAGTTTTAAAAATGATTTTTCTTCAACCCTTACAATTTGTCAGCTCTAAAAGAACTTGGTGGTGGAAGGGAATGTTATATAAAAGCATTTCCTTTGTATTATAAGCACCAAAAACTTAATTTTAGTTTGAGATATACCATAAATATATAAAATGAGATATCTTTGATGCATGTTTACAGTGGCGTAAAGCTCTATTTTTCTTAAATTTTAACCAAGGAAAAAGAAAATCAGGCATAAATATGCAAAGAATACAAGTAAAATGCATATCTGTTCAGTGGCAGAATTCAATATCTACATGAAAACCTTATGAAAGAGTGTTTTGTTCATGTTACAATTGGATCAAAGTATGGCATAAATATGAAGAAGAAGAAAACAATCTAATGATTAAACACATTTCTTCGAGTTTGTTATATTTCTTTTTTTTTTGAGTGGTGCGAGTTTGATAGAGTGATGCCAGTTGAAATAATTAGTGAGATGTTTGAGTGGTGCGAGTTGGCCGTGGGCCGAGTTGTTGGACAGTACGTCGACTGAGCATGCGCGAAAGCGTATAAGACACGGATCGATAACGGTCTCCGAATTTTGATATTTTCTCAAAAAATTGCGTTTTCTGTGGAGAAAAGATTGTTTCAAAGACAAATTTAGGAAGTACAAAACACTACATTTATACGTCATATCACAAATATTTCCAACTTTGTATGATTTAAGAGGAGTTGCGGCTTAATGAAATTGGTCTCTTCCTTTAGTAGTATAGATATGTGATTATCAAAATTATAGTGTCAACTAGATATCATTGAGATGGGAGCCATCTCTGTGGGCCCCGCTGTGAATAATGTGTGGTAAAAAATTTGTATCTTTATCATTGGACATGGGGTTGTCAACTAAGACCAAGGGTTTTGACCTTGACCTTTGACCTAGGAAGTTGTACATAAGTTATGACACACCCTCTGGTGTTGGTTGATATACATGTCAAGTATAAATTTTGAAATCATAACGGTTCTCAAGATATAGAGCGGACACGATCTTTACCATAGGACATGGGGTTGTCAACTCAAACCAAAGTTTTTGACCTTGACCTTTGACCTAGAAAGATTTACATACATTATGACACACCCTCTGGTGTTGGTTGATATACATGTCAAGTATAAACTTTGAAATCATAACGGTTTTCTAGATATAGAGCGGACACAATTTGTTACGAACGGACGGACGGACAGACGGACGGACAGACTGATCACTCTAGGGCGTCTGCCATTCGGCGGGGCCCTAATTATTAAAATCATTGTAATAAATTACTTTGCTCTTCATGGGGCCTTTAATAGGAATAAAATCTTATCTTATCTTATAAACTGCACAATACAGACAGACTATGACTCCCAAGTTCAAAACTAGGACTGTTTGATGCTAACCATATACAAAGCTTACTACAGAAATGATCAGTTTTATTGATGGTTATATTTCTTAGTCCAAAAATGCCTTTTTGCATCATTTTGTTAGTCGGTATCAAATTACGCACACTTTATACAGTGAAAATGATAACAAATGAAGGTTAAACTGTACTTGTAATGAAAAAAGGGGAATAAAGCAGCACAATATAACACTGTCTGTCATATAAAACAGTTTTGAAACCAATATTATAATGTTAAAACTAAATATCTACTGGAAAACCATGTATTTATTTAATCAAATTACATAATAGCCTGTAATATTTATCCAACATGATAATAAAAAAATATCTTCTTTAGCCTTGACAGGAACGGGGAGCCAATTATTTCCTCCATCATTTCAATGCAATTTTATTTGAAGGGCAGATGTTTTATTCCCTATATTTGACATCCAAATTTCATTTACCTTCTCATACTATTAGCCCTCTTCATGGTTTCTTGGAGAATTCTTGAAGAGTCATGACCGGTATCGTGTAACTGGGGTCCTATCCTATATGTTATGATAACTCTAAAATAGTATTAAACACAACTCGACATCGATTACCTATCTCAAAGGCAATCTTTTTTTTTAATTTTAGGCCATCTTTATTTTGTCTATAGAAGGAATTTATCCTAAATTCTGGCATCAGACTTCTGTGAAATTATGTGTTTATTCATTAGCATACAATGATCTAATATATCCATTGAGACCGTCATTACTTAATCGCCTTAAACATTCCATAAAAATGTCTTATATGTAAAGCAAAGGAGACATGTGTCCTTTACCTGGCTCAACCATGTGATGCAAATATCTAACATGTAAAGCAAAGGAGACATGTGTCCCTTATCTGACTCAACCATGCGATACAAATGTCTAACATTTAAAGCAAAGGAGACATGTGTCCTTTACCTGGCTCAAGCATGCAATACATGTCTAACATGTAAAGCAAATGGGACATGTGTCCCTTTCCTGGCTCAACCATACGATACAAATGTCCAACATGTAAAACAAAGGAGACATGTGTCCCTTACATTTATCAACCATGCGATACAAATATTTAACATGTAAAGCAAAGGAGACATATGTCACTTACCAGTCTCAACAATGCGATAATAACATTAACATGTAATGCAAAGGAGATATGTGTCCCTTACCTGGCTCAACCATGCGATACAAATATCAAACATATAAAGCAAAGGAGACATGTGTCACTTACCTGTCTTATCCATGCGATACAAATGTCCAACATGTAAAGCAAAAGAGACCTGCGTACTTTCACTGGCTTTACCATGTGAAACAAACGTTTAATGAATGAAAATAACACTGTATTAATTGTTTTTTTCTGGGTTAACCTTCATCAGAGGCGCTCAAACTAAACATTTGAAAGACAAGGATCTATAAGACCAAAACACATGAAGATCTATATGACCAAAAGGATCAACTTTGTCTGAGAGATTTGGAACATAAGTTTCTTAATAATTCCTTAATTTATGAACGGAGAATGTAAAAAAGGTGTAATTTATAATCATGTCAGTACAGATGCACTGACTACTGAGATGAAGACAATCCTTTGGGACTAGCAGTCCACCAGTTGAGTTACTGACCCATAACTAGTCCTAGTATAATAAAAAAAAATAACACTTGATAAATAAGTTGCTTTTATGAAGTTACAAACAACTTAAGCCCAAAAATATTTTCATACAAGATGTCTTGATATTCAGATCTACAAAGATGTAAATATTTGTAAACTATATCTTTTGGTAAGACTTTAATTTTTGTAAATTATAACTTAAATCAAAAACTGTGTATAAAATGTCTATGTTATTTCAATGTCGAAATGTGCTTGACATAAAAGTGACATCCCAAAGTTCTGTGTATATGTTCTACGGTGTCCTTATATCACAGTATTCATTTTTCAACAACTTTAACGTAATATTTAAAGAAATGTATGGATTGAAGAAATGTTTTATATCAGGTGTCAGGAAATGGATCTACATGTAAGCTCTTCCTTTAGAAAACATAATTGTTGGAATCGTGTAACAAAAAGGTATGTAGCTCTTGTATGTCTTCCTCACAGTTATTACGAGCATTGTTTGGTACATTTTTATCTACTATAGGTCTGCCCTCTGTCTGCATCACCCTGCTCAGCTCTTTATAAAATTGCATCCTTCTTCTTACATTGACACAACATTATCACCGACGTCACAATGATTAAATCGACGTTGAGAAGTTTTCAAGTCATCTTCCGCTATGAATTATATCACTGACATTGTTAATGATAAATTCTTAAATAGCGATTTACATTACTGCTTTGAATGAAGCTGTGGTCAGACTAGTCCAATAACATATGACCTCGGGGTAATATTTTCTATTTATGTGTGATTTCTATTATTTCCTTTTTTATTTATTGTGATTTTTGTTATTTTTCATTTTCTATGTGCTGGTTTTACTATCAGTGTGTCGCTTCGCATTCCAAAAATGAAAATATCACCATGAAAACGATTAAAATGGGTAATAATGCAAAGTCATATAATGTTATGGGACTATCGTCAGACATGCCGGTATGTGTTGGTAATGGTGACTTTAACTGCATTCTTTAATCCAATAAAATAATATGTACACAACAAGGGGAATTGAGTGTTCGGGGAAGTGGGAAGACGTTATTTTCAGTAAAGGTAAAAGTGAGGCCGAGCATAGCGGATCGATTTTTTTGTAGGCTATTTCATGCCAAGAAATGGTATTTTTCTGTCAAAGTAGGGGCGTACACCCTCTACGCCTGGACAAGCCTAACTATTATGAATATATTTTTATATGTTCATTTATTATTATTTTCATTATTTCTTGTTTGGTTTATTCCGTAGAAATATACTCAGTGTATGTATCACCTTAAGCATTGTTTATTTCCATCTCTGAACCTCTGTCAATTAGTTGTAACGAAAAAAAAGTATCTATAATATATCATAATTATTTTATTGTTATAGATAAAAGCAACAACAAAACAAAGCTACGGGATAGTTACACATGTCCAACTAAATACACTAGGATGAATCTCAGTTGTTTTTACAGTAAAATGAAAAAAAAAAACAACAGTAAATTCGATAATACGAGAAACATTCAATGGGTATATGTTTTTGATAATGACGTTTCAAAATTTCATTTCCTTGCATAACATGAAATAAACAAAAAAATCGAAGTCATGCCTCACTTATATAAGTAAAGTTATAAACAGCAATATTTATTTTAATAATAAAAAAAAAAAAACACTAGTTTCTTGAAAAATGGCACGTTGTGTTTAATTGTCTTGAAAGAATCTACCATGAAAACTGAAAGGCATGGTGGTAGGTAAAATGGCTTTATTCATTGTTTCCATGGTTGTAGCATTAATGAGTACAAGATAACTTTCTTTCTTGATGCCATCAAAAACATGTGTCATTAAAACACCGTCATCTTCTCTGGAACTATTAGGTGTAGGTTCAAACCAAGCTTCAGATGGATAATGGTTATCAATTACCCATGATAAATCGCCGTCTACTCTACATACATCTTTTTTTACTAATGCCCATTTATTAAAATTTTTGTTGTCTGCTTTTAAGACTAATCCATATGCGTAACAGTATTTAACGTGTCTGAAATTCTCATTAATGGTCGGCATATCTAAATTGTTTGCAAATGAATTATTTTTTGATGGTTTGAAAGATTCTGCAGAAACCGATGTTGTAATTAGATCTATTGTAAATCTTTTTATACCATTATAGAGAGTGATGTTATTGCGCAATGTTATAGAACGAATATAGTTCAAATCCATGGAAAACATATTGGATGAATTTTGTGTACAAATGTCAACAATGATCCTGTTATTATCTTCGTAAGCATTAATATGATGGAAATAGGACACAAATTTATCATATTTCACAGTAGTCACCTTATTTGTTCTTAAATCAACAACGTAGATAAAGGTAGGGTCGTTGTATCGATATTCCATTGCATCTGCTATGTCACCATATTCTGCTACCTTCATTATATCTATTGAAACTGGCTGACCAATGAAAATCACATAGTTCTTTGTGACAGAAAATGAGTGCATGTAAGTTTGTGCTTCAATATCCCACGGGACAATTTCCTCTCGATCTCCAACTGATGTCATTCGATACAAAGTTATGATACTTTTAATGTAAGGAACTATGCTTACACTCATCAGATACGTCAATTAAGTTTCTTTACCGAATTCTTTGATTGGGTGAGCTGATGAAAAGCCGGGGATATAGACATGTGATCTTACTTTCATTGGTGGTGCAATAAATTTCACTGTTTTTAATGACTCTTCCTTAATTTGGTAAACGTTCCAAATATCATTTACGGACATGTATTCATATTGCCCAGTCTTTGAATCACGTATCCTATATACATTTACGTTCAAGTTTTCCATTTGGTTTTTCAGCGATTCTATTTTTTCCATTTCATTATATGGGGGAACTAGCTTACCAAACTGAAAATAGGGTGCAATTGTATTAGTAGCTAGAGATTGTTTATAGTATTCTGTCTGTAGAAATCTTGCAGACATTGACACCGTCCCGTTGCTATAAAACGTAAAACTGTGAAGTTTGCCAAAACCATCAAATGCATTTGTGAATGACCTTTGTCCCATTTCGTACCTGGCACGACCATTTCGAATCTAAAAAAGGAATAATATTCATAATTCTATACAAACTGAAACGGAAAAAACGTTGGCTTAAATGATAGGAAGAAGTGAGATTATTCAACAGCATTTGTTCAAATGATTATCAAAATGATTCCAATCTCTATAAAGATTATAAAAGGGAAGTCACCTTGACGAGTCATTATAAGTTAATACTGTATTAATTGAAATTACGTTTTACTTCATGTTATGATCTTCGTTTAAGGCATTTCAATAATAGATTGACTATTGTAATCTAAATAAATGGAAAAACAGGTCAAGATCAGGTGTCCGACTGAGACAATCTATCCTCAGGTTACAATGAATGCATATCATATAAATATTAATATGTAAGAAATACAGGGTTTACGCCAATGGGACTGCAAACCAAAGCCACAGCAAACCGAAAGACATCCAGAAATCCACATACGGTCTCCAAAATAGACAGGTGTCTCAACCATATGCCAAAATCTAATATGACAGTTGTTTTCTATTCGTTTGATGTGTTTGAGCTTTTAATTTTCCCATTTGATAAGGGAGCTACCATTTGATTTTTATGGGGGGGCTAGGATGAAAAATTTTGTCCAGCCTATTTATTTTTCCCTCTATTCGGTCCTGCCTTTTTATTTTTCACTCTATTCGGTCCTGCCTTTTTTTTTTAGTTTATCCTGACTTTTTTTTTAAAATAAATTGTCATCCTGCCTTTTTTTTTTTTGCAAATAATCTCATCCTGCCTTTTTTTTTACTTAAAACTCCTGTCCTGCCTATTTTTTTCAAATTTCATCCTAGCCATCATGTGCTTTGTGCCTATCTGACCAGTCAAGCTTTTTCCAAATGATATTTATTTGGTTTTTTCTCTTGTGTTGTTACAACACTGTCCCAAATTAAGGGGATGGATGAGCGCTCACAAACATGTTATCATCGCCATATTCTATATGCTCCTGTATCAAGGAAGAAGACTGTAATTCTGTGGTCGTCTTGGTTTTCACGTTTTGTCATGTCGAAGCCTTTCTTACCGGTCAATATGGTATGGATTTGTGCTCATTGTTGAAGACTGTGCGGTGACCTATAATAGTTGCTTAAACCCGCATCATTTTGGATTCTAATTGATAGTTAGTTGGCTCATTAGAAATAATTCCACATATCCTTTTTCATAATTAATACCGTAAAACAAAACCCGCATCTAATAAAAACAAGTTCTCAGTACAAATCTGCTGACAGAAAATCATGCTGTCCTAAAAGTTCAAATGTTACTCATATTAACTGCAAAGATCGACATCTCACGAAAATTAAACGTTTCAAGAAAATGAGACAAATATTAGGTGAAATACCTTACAATGATCCAATATTTAAAAACAAAATCAATTAAGATACCAGCATGAATTTTAAGTTATAACTATATACGTCAGCGTTTCGTCTACAAAGACTTATCAGTGATGCTCAAATAAAAAAAAATTAAAAGGCCGAATCAAGAACGAAATTGAAGACCTGTTACTTATAGTTACTGTGAAATTCACCATAACAAGAAAACTTATTGCATAATGTAGAATAATAACGATGAAAATTAAGTCAATGTCAGATATGTCCTACCAGACATAAAAGTTCATCTTATAAACCCTATTTATAGCACCCAAACAGATTTTGCCAGGTAAACGGATATGGTTTAAAATGATCAAAATTAACGCTCTTACATAATGATGTTTTACATTGCTTTTCGTCATAATGACACCTTGCCAAAAGAACGATAACACATTACGTTTAACGTTTCTTTATTTTCTATAAAACGAGTTTTAAAATAGTTGGTAAAAAACTATAAACGTTAAAGTTGAACCATCTTACTTATTATCTCATTAAATTGACTCGTCCAGAGTACGTATTCACTGTTAAGAAAATAACTTAAACGGAAAATGTGTTAATACTTTTCTTTGTTTTCTATGTACATTGGGCATAGTGTTAACAATGGGGGGATAGGGAGTTATGGAAAAGATGCCACAAGTGAACATATATGCAATCTTCAGTTTACTGTTATAACCAGGAGTTAAAAAAACAATTTTGGTACCAATGCCAACTATGTCTGTTTTAAAAAATTTTAATGAAAATTATTGATTCTATCGAAGAAAAAAAGCAGGAAAGATTTCCTATTATTCCTATTTTGATGGAATTATCATAGAAATATATGAAGAGTATTCTAAAGGTAGTCTTGCTAAAAACCGAATGCATATACTTACTTTTTACATTACTTGGAAAAAAATGATTATGAATAATTCACAAATGATGAAAATATTTTATAACTTATTATATGACTTTCACTATAAAAATGTCAAAGGTAATTTTGATAGAATTTAGCAAAATTTGCGTAATTATCAAAAAAAAAGAAGTAACAAAGACATTGTTAACTAAAACCAAATTCTGTAGGAAGTAATTCTATTGTCTTTCAGATACAAATTAATTCGATTTTGTTATCGATGTCCTTTGTTACAAAATTTTACAAAAACGTGTGCAATATTGTCTTCAATAGCAAAATATGGCACTCAAAATTATTTTGATACTATGGAAATATATAGAAAGGTGCATCTTTTTTAAGTATATCAAAACACTCCTCAATATTAAAATTTCAGTAGGTTTTAGCAACTGTTTGATTGCAAGTGAAACAAAAACAGGGGGAATTGGTTCTACTCCTTTTCTGACATGCACGGAGAATTTCAGCAAGTTAAGGGTTAAACAATCATTATATAATTCAATCTAATTGCTTAAGATTCTGTAAAAGTTACGTGTCCACTTAATATTGCGTATTAAGGTCTGTCACTTGGATATATTAAGGAGAATATGATCGATTCCTAAAAATCATGTCTTGTAACACAAACGATCAGTAGTTAATGTTTTTGTCATAACTATAAAAAAAAACCTATGTGTTTCTATTTGCACCGTTTCCCGATCTTTAACTGGCATTATTTTCACAAAGGAATAACAGTTTCAGCAGAACATTTTCTAATTAGCTTAAGATCAATAACAGCATAGGGAGTACGTGAAAAACAACGGGAAGTTCCGTTTTGAAGAAAGTGAAATCAGAGGATTTTTTTGTCACCAGACTTCCAAACGTTCGACAAAGTTTGTTGCTAGCAGTTCAAATATGTTTAATATAGAAAAAAGACAAATGGACCAGACACAAATTTCACAGGTAAATTTAGTCTTCTCCAAAATGAACACATACTATATATGGCATTAGACTTTAGCATAAAAGCATATTACCCTCTTATCTTATATTTACTTACCAATGTTCCTTTGAGCCATCTTGGAACAGGATATGAAAATGTTATTGGTTTGTTATTAAATTCATTTACGTTTGTTCTGGAAAAGTCGGCAAAGCCAGAAGAATCATCTTCTACCAATTTTGCCTCAGCACAGAAAGACAAAGACAAAATAAAGACAATTAAACGTGAAGGACACTTCATTATGTTGTATATTTGGCTGAGTTATGTTGGGATAACGGACTTTATATACCATCGTCAGTGTTAAAAGAGTTGACCACCAGATGAACCAAGGTCAGTCAATACGGAGGTGATCACACTTTCGACTTAGTGACGTACACTTCATTATGTTGTATATTTGGCTGAGGAGTTATCTTGGGTTAACGGAGTTTCTAAACCATTGTCAGTGTTAAAGAATTGACCACTGGATGAACCAAGGTCCGTCAATATGGAGGTAATCACGTTTTCAATTGAGTGACCATTATTATTGTCATGATAAATAGTTTATATCAGTATTTAGATACAGCGTGTCTACCTGAAGCAATGATCCTCACAAAATAAGAGTATTCAAAAGTGTATAGCTGAGTTCACGTATTTGTTTTGTATGAAACAGTATTGCATCGTACCGATTTTCATTCTGCGTTTGTATATTATTAAATAGTCTATTTTCATATAACCTACTTTTATATCCGGAGTTTATCATTTTTCGACATGTTACCAAATCTGTAGTAGGAAATTCTGGTACTCGGTCAAGTAAGAACAACTAAAAGAAGTAAAATCGAGCTTACAATCGGTGCAATTTTGGATAAAAATAATTGTTTTATTTTTTTTTATACTCGACAAAATCATCGTAAAACTTAATTTTCCCCCAAATTACACCTACTGTAAGCTTTATTTTACTTTAGTGTGTTGAATTTATTCTCAAATTGTCTTTGTATATGCTTTCCTAATTTGAATTTGAATTTGCAAGTATGGTTGTAACAGCACGAGTGTTGTGTTTGGAAAAGAAAACTTATAATCATTCAATAACACCTTAATTCCCTCTGTTACTAAGTCGTTCATTCTATTTATTCATATCATAAAAAGAAACGATATTTGATAATTTATATATGGTATGCGATTAAAACGTCGTATAAAAAGACTGTAAGATTGTACTGCATATAATGAGCGAGTTTGAACTCTAGTTTATTGATTTTCCAGAGGAAAAAGTTATGGTACATCAATTGATAAATGCATCGATTGTATAAAACCAATAAATCATTATTCCTCTATAAATCAAAGAAATTTTTCAACTATCTTCGAAAACAAAGAAAAATATAAATAAAGTTGTAAACTATGCGTTGTTTACTCTCCTCTTATCAGACCGTTATAATATATTTGTTTTACTTTCGTCTCTTAAAGAAACTTTGAATGGTTTTACACTAGGCATTTTTGGGACCCTTTATAGCTTGCTGTTCGGTGTGAGCCAAGGCTCCGTGACGAAGGCCGTACTTTGACCTATCATAATGGTTTACTTTTACAAATTATGACTTGGATGGATAGTTGTCTCATTGGCACTCATACCATATCTTCTTATATCTATCAAACTATCAGATATTTTTTTCTCCTAATTTTTCTCTCATAATAATAATGTTGAAAACATGTCTCCGTACTCTTACCAAACTGAATATAACCTATTCTGTCTTATTAGTAGGAAAAGTCCTGAAGAAATAATTAATTACACAATCATCACTTTGGACGTTTGTATTGAAAGCAACTCTTCTAGTTCTGTGAAAATTCGAGGTCTTGTAACCATGTTGTTATTAGAGACCATAACCTCTCCAAGATGGAGAGGTTTTGAGTTATCATAAAAAGGGACTAAAATATTGTACACCTAAATGGCTTGGAAGGATGTCGTAAAGTAATTAGCTCTTAATTTTCTTCTTACTGCTAATCGTGATCAGTATTCATAGAAATAAAGCTGATAAAAAATCATATGATTCATTCTTCAAACAAAATCATGAATCGAATTGATTATTCAAGTTGTATTTAACATTATTAAAAATTATTGCAATAGGTCGATACCTTTGCTGTTGGGCTGTTAGTGCCCAAGGGTATCACCAGTCCAGTATTACTGGCATTTTAAAACGGATATTGTATTATTCAAATTTGATGTTACAAATTTTTGGAAATTATTCTAAATTCAGGAATTAATCTCCCGCATACAAAGCTCTTGTTTCTTTGTCAGGCTTTAGCTATACTTTTGGTCCTTTATGTTTCATCATCTCTTAAACTTTTGAATAAGTTTTGAATTTAAAATATTTTGGCGGCGATCATCACTGAAGAGACATGTATTGTTGAAATCCGCATCTGGTCAGCAAAATTAGTACCATTAATGTTATTCTAAAAGTTAGTTTCCACACAAAAAATATCGATCTATGTAAACAATATCTAGACAGGAAAACAAATCATATACATTTTAAGGCGTCCATTTGCAAATCCAGAAAGATTAGGAACTAAGTAATACATTTCTGCATATTTTTTTTCAATGAAAAATCCAAAAAAAAATATATTGGAACATCCCTTTCCCAGAAACCCCCGTCTATAAATCCCTGATACGTACCTGCGTTTTGGCGTATCTACCAGCTGAAAAAGCAGTTTACAACGTTGTCGACCTATAAGGATTTATCGTACTTCCCTGTGCCTGTGAAAGAACTTATCAAGAATACTTCCAGCAGAACAATCGAGTGTAAAACAATTGTTTACAGGGGAAACTAATTACCAAAACAAGACGAATTAGCTCACTCGTCAAAAAGGTCCACAGAGTGACTAGCGTTTGATATCATACGATATTAATGTTCAGAAAAGCCGATAACCTATACGTACTATACCAAGATACCCAAAAACTGAGATTACATATTAAAGTAAATTCACACTTTAAGTTACTTCTTCTACTGACGTAGTATAATATTTTACAATTTCTGGAATCCTAAAAAGTCTTTGGAAGTCTTGGAGAAACTACATCCCTTAGGTACCAGTTTGTCATTATTGATAGAAATGATTTCTCTACTCTGTATACTACAACATTACATTATATTTATCGTACAGATAATTTCCCTTTTTGATAAGATGAACTTCCAAAACATCTGGTTGAAATTATTTCTTTTTTATTCTTTACTATTTTTTTTTTTTAGTATAAAACATACACAAAATACACGCAGTTGGTTTAATATGCGAATGTCTGCAGTGCTATATCAGATTTTAATAACATTTTACTTTCATCACTTAGTCTTATCAAAAGAAGTAGTGTCAATTAACCCTGCACATGTAAATGTTTCTCTCACAGGGTCAAAATCACAAAAGTTTAGATTTTATTTTATTTTTTCTGCATTGAAAAACCATTCAAAATGTACACCGTGTATTGCACAGATAATGTCTTCATGTACCGTAAAAACATATGGAGATGAGGTATCATTGCCAATGAGACAACTATCCACCAAAGTTCAAATAAAGTGGTTGTAAGCAATTATAGGCAACCGTACAACAACGAGAAAAACTCATACCGTATAGTCGGCTATAAAAGGTCCCGACATGAAAAATATGAAACAACTGTGTATGGCTAGGTTGTATCAAATATATCCCGAGTAAGAACCGACAATATCCAAGGGAAGTACGACAATACCTCATTTCAGCAGATTAAGAACTTTGAGCCTGCTTTTGTTACTGTGAGCATACTTAGATACGATACCATTTATTATTGTTTTAACTTAAATTGTATTTTTTCGCTGTTGTCTTTTATACCAGTAATATAGAGTAACGTGGTTTATATTTAACGATCTTGTTTATGTACCAGTATCAGTATTGTCTATCGTCAGTGGTCTTAATATATATGGTTTATGTCCTTTTTTGAGACACGGGGTGATTACCATATTGTATTAGCATTGGTCTATGGTTGAGGGTCATACATTTGTAGTATGTCGACGTTTAGATGTCTTTTGATATTTGGTCTTTTTTTTTTATCATTATTTAACTTTTAATATACTGCGAAAATTAAATCGATATTGACCGAATTCTATTAACCAGTTCAAATCATAGTCTCTTATGATAAAGTAAATATAACTGTCTGGCAATGAACTATCTGTACATACGGCCGTGTGGTGCCTTATAGTTGTTTTCATCCTCGTCTTTTAGTCCCCGACTTTGACATTATTTTGTTTGATTGTAAACTAAATATAAAATAATTTTGTGTTATTATATATATTATTCAATTTCTCATTTACTGAAAAAATAGAATCTATGCTGACCCAATGACCTTTAACCAGTTCAAAGCCAAATTTCTTATGATAAAGGAAGTGTTACAGTCAGTGAACTATCTATTTATTGTTGAAGGCCGTACAATGCACTACTCTTGTTTCTGTACATCCTAGTTCATTGATCTCTGGTGGATAGTTGTCTCATTGGCAATCATACCACATCTCCTTTTTTTCATATCATTAGTTTTTGTTTTCTTCCTTAAATACGACTTACTTTAATTTATTACTAAATAATGTCTGCTCTATTTATTCAAGGCTTAATTTTTATTAGAAACTAATAATTTCTTTTACCTATACCAAACCAATTGCAACTAAAATTTTCAATTACAAACACGTTTTGCAGGATCTCAACATTGACGACTTCAAGTCTAAACCTCCTGATTGCACCTGTACTAGTTCCCAATTCACATATAATCCGGCTGGCCACGTTATTACCGGAGACCTCAACATTGTCAATAACACTTCCCTGCGAAATTTGTTACCCATAGGTCCGAAATATCGTGAGCCTAAATCCATCAATTGGAAATACAACTTCAAAATACTGATGGATTCAGTCGAGGATTATGCCAGGCAATGGGCTAAACGCGAGAAAGAAGACATAGATACTCTTTCCGAATGGATTAAGGCTGTGAGATCGTTGATACAATCCGAATTAAGAAACTAAATGGGCATATCAATACCCACGCCACGACAATTTTTAAAGACCCAAATGTTGCAAAACACTTGTCCTACCTCCATGACAAATATGTTGTTGTCCCCGCAGATAAAGCTCCAAACAACATCGTTGTTGTGTGTAAATATCATTACATAAACTGCTTGATAAATGAATTAGGTATTGACAATTCACTTGGCAACTCAACATATACCCTTCCGACACTTACCAAAGAGGAAATCCTGGATAATCATAGGTCT